GTTTGAACAAAATCCATTGAGAAATGTAGGAGGAGTTGCACACAGAAGAAATTTTTTCACTATATATTATCTATGAGGAAAAAAAACATGGGCCATAATTAGGTCATATATTAAGCAATCACAAAACCCCGACAATATGCGTCAGGGCACTTGATGACAAAGCTTCTGTGAAAGTTTGAACTAAGTCCTTTGAGAAATGTAGGAGGAGTTTCACATCGAAGATGAAATTGTTCACTATATATTTTATATGAGGGGAAAAACAGGGGCCATAATAAAGTCAAATATTATGCAATCACAAACCCCCGACAATATGCCCCAAGCCACTTGATGACAAAGCATCTGTGAAAGTTTGAACAAAAGCCCGTCCTGGTTAATATGCAAACGGTGTGAAACCTACGCATCCCCCACCAACCCTCTGGGCACAGCCATTTTTTAAATATAAGTGAAATTGGAACAATTGCAGGCTTCTTCTATGCAATGATACATGCCAAATAACTATGATCTGTGATTTGTAACTTTACATAAGAATACATACATGAAAATAAGTTTTTCTTTCTATGTGACCTCTGGGGCAGAGCCAAAATTGACCCTTAAAGCATGATACATATACATTTTGTAGATGTCAACAAGGCATGCTTCATGCAAAATACTCGTATCTAAGCTTTAAATAAATATTGTTGGGTCCCGTGCAGATGGCTCTTTAATAACTGTTGTTAACTGTTAGATGATCTATTAACTTAAAGGCCCCTTCGCTATGTAATCTGTTCATGTACTTTGGATAATCAAAAGTCTGCATTATAACAACCTAGGCTTGAAACATTGTTATTTTGCTGGCAGTTATAAGAATTAAAACCACAAGCGCAGATTTACAATATATGCTGCCTCATAGGCATTATTTATAAATATCTACTTTAATTAGACACATGCGGACATACTACGATAACATACCAATACTTATTAATAAAGCATATAGAGGGGTCTATTCAAGACTTCTTTACCAGGTACTAAAAATTAACCCATTACTTCATGAGCATTTTGTGAAAAATGGCTGTTTTCATTGAAAAGCCTCCCGTTACAAGTTCAAATTGCTATAGAACTATAAAAAAAAGCTTTAATACTAATCAAACTTGGCACAAATGTTGACTGGACCATTGCCTTGGTAAAAACATGCCCAGGCTTAAATTTCCTGTTACCATGGCGACGAGGGTACATCTCAAAATTGCCAAAAATGATTTTTTCCATCAAAATTGATTTCAAAGTGCTGCAACTTCTCAATGGATTGAGATAAAGTCAAATGCTTTTCAGCGTTGCTAACACGTTACCTTATGATCGATCTGGGGTCTTTTTTAGCCTCTCAAAAGCCCAAAAAATTGGCGATGAGGGGGTCTACAGCCCCCCTTCAACCCCCCCCCCCCAAACAGAAGGGGCACATCCCCCTTCTGCCAACCCCCTGATGTATCTTTTGCTTGGGGGCCGCCCCCAAACAGAAGGGGCACATCCCCCTTCTGCCAACCCCCTGATGTATCTTTTGCTTGGGGGCCGCGCCGAAAAAGTGCTCACCTTTTTTATCAACATTTCTCAAATGAAAACATGTGTTTGGGGCCCAAACAGGACATTTTTTCACTATTTGAGGCCTAAAAGAGGGGGAGGGGTCGAAAGGGCGTTGTTTCGCGTATATATGAGGTAAAGGGTTAAGTCTTCAAGCTTTTATGCTTTTTATCTGACTTAGGAAGACGGACTGACGGACATCAGATGACACTCTTATGAATCCGCAGTAATTAAATAACATTATATTATAAGTTACCTACACAAATAACATAAGGATATTCAAGTTTAACTAATTTTATTTATGTAAGCCCTTAACAATCAACCTTGCGCATCTGTAATATCCGACAACAACACGAAAAATATCTCGAATTTCAATATACAATCGTTCTTACAAAAATTATCATTTACATATGATTAAGAACGGGGCTGGTGCCTGTTAATATACAAGAAATAAAATGGTTATAATTAATACTTAATTTTTAGAATGGAAAATGTAAACATGTACAATTACTTTAACTCACTTATAACATAATTCATCTAGGAAAATATGCAAATTATTAAGGCAGAACTTTTCCGTAATAGAATCTCGACTTAAGTTTTATTTCTGACAATCAGTCTAATGTAAAAAACAAATAATAATAAGATTTTACTAAAATTTTCTTAAGTTAATTTCCCCTTAATAAAATAAAATTAAATTACTTTTTAATGTAAAATAATAGTGTACATTACAAGCCCCATTAATTAAATTAACATATTTTAAACATAAATAATGAGGATACATAATAACAAGGATCGGTGATGGAATGCAAAACTAGATATAAAGCTTTATAAATAATTTACATTGACAATCATTAGAATTTAACATTTTATAACATATCAACTGTATTTAATCAGGAAATAAGTATACATAGGCTAATTAAAAAGTAAATAAGCTCAATAAAATGCGGTGCATTACAATATAATATTTTTGGGCATATGAAAGTGTGTTCTTATTACCTCCATTGATTTAAAGCATTTAAAATTCAGCAATTCAAAAAATGCAGTGGTAGTCATTGGCTAAACATTCTGCAACTCCTTATATTGGTATTTCTTCCATTGAACATATATTTTGATATAATATATGATAAAACAGGTATGGCCACTTGACATCAGCCCTTGAACTCATATCAGTCTTTCAATAAGAGAAAGACTGCCCACAATATGGCAACACAAAGGTAGCACTGTAAATTAACAACTGCCGATATGGTATGGTACTTCAGACATCACTTAAAAAATTGACATTTTATATGCATCATTCATAACTTAATGTTATGTTAGTGAAATTACTTATCTCAAGTAACATCAGTTTCAATTAATAAGATTGTTATATTTCAAATAATTAAATCATATAAACCTATAATTTCCGCAATTGTTATACTCTGAACAGAAAAAAACCCCTAAAAATATCAAGTTTGATAAAACAAGACAGCCATGATGGCCCTTATCTCGCTCACCTGATTAATGAGGCTCTGAATTAATATTATTAATTATTATTAATTAAAGGCAGATATAATGCCATAAATTTAAACTGATATCATAACATTCATCTTTGCACTTGATCGAAATAGTGCAAATGTTAATAAGCTTTTTTCATATATATATGCCATTTTATGTGCTGTGACCTTTTTGATATCAGTTGACCCTTATTCAACCATGCAAACAACCTTTCTGACCAATATATCCAGGATATTTTTTGGCCTGAGTGAGCTAGATTTTGACCATGGATGACTCATGTTCAAAGCTGAGCTAGAAATCATCAAAACAAACTTTCTGACAAATTTTCAGGATATTTGGGATGAAAATATTACCTCTAGAATGTAAACAATATTTTTTCATAATACTGGTTGTGTGAACTACAGAAGTAGTTTTTGACTCCAGATGACCCATATTCAAACATGACATAGAAACCATCTAAACAATGTTTCTGACTAATTTCCAGGATAGTTTTAACCTAAACAGTATCCTTTATTTAGGCTGTGTAATCTAGTTTTTGACCACAGATGAACTATATTTGAACACGAGCTATAAATCAAACAAACAACCTTTCTGACCAATTTCCAGGATATTTGGACCACAACAGTTGCCTCTAAAGCGATAAGGAGGTGTTTTAATATTTGGAGTGTATGACCTACTTTGACCCAAGATGACTCATATTCGAACATGAGCTAGCAATCTTCATAACAACCTTTCTAACCAGGACATTTGGACCAAAACAGTAGCCACTAAAGTAATAACAAGGTTTCTCCATATTTGGACTGTGTGACCTAGTTTTTGACCCCATATGACCCATATTCGAAATAGCCCTGGAAATCATTAGAACAACCTTTCTCACCAATTTCAAGGTATATTTGGTCCCTAGAGTGTTTTTCTATATTTGGAAAACCCAGGGTGGGGCTAATTTTGACACTTTGAACAATATTGTTAGAGGACATATAGATGATATTTACCAAATATCAAAGCTCTAAGCCTTATATCTTCAGAAAAGAAGATTTTTTAGGTTTTACTATATGTACAGTACATAATGAAAATCAATGACCCCCAGGGCAGGGCCAATATCTCTAGTAGAATTGTTTCAGGCAGTAACTTGCTGAGAACAATAATTTATCAATATTATCAAGTAACAAGTATTAAATTAATTTAAAACATTTGATTATTTAACATGAATAAAATTATTTCAGGAGATAACATCATTTTAATATTAACTCAAATCTATTTATTAATGCATTATGTGAGAAATACATGCACATTGTCTACATAAATTTAAAATATCAAGGAATCACTATAAAGATCCTAAAACATTACATATATAATTATAGTTTAACATACATCTTTATACATAAAATTGTGTAGAATAAATGGAAGTTTCTCAGCTGTAGTCCTCTATACTTCTATATGGCCCTGAGCAGAGTGTTTTGCTTTGAAAGCTAAATGGGGATGAACAAGAAGTATTGTGTGACCACAAATGAAAACAAAGGAACACAGTGACCTTCACCCCTAAATGCCAGTAAAAAGGTACACTTGGCTATTTTTGTAGGAAAAGTTTTGTATTCTTTGGCATATAACATGGTGTTAAATGTAAACATCCAAACACAATTTTCAAAGCTTTTTTCTAGATTGTTCTTAATACTTGTTTTCTTGAGTATTTGGGAAATGCTTATAGTGTTTTTTCCCCCAATCTGACTTGGCAAACATGGCAAGTGGTTGTATGTATCTCTTCTAGGGCCTTCAGCAAATACATTGAAATATGTTTAACTGAACATGTATATGAAGGCTGTTTTTTGTGCAAAGTACAGGTTTCCTTGTAATATTTGCATGGTTCCAGACAAAAGACTGTAAATACCATTTGTTCTACACAATTTATCTTGTAGATATCAATGTAATATCCATTTGTATAAGAATAACAATTCTAAATGTCAAGTGTAAATGTTTGTTTAAAATATCAATTCATTGAATCAAATCAGATCAGAAATTAACATACAAATGTAGTTTAAATACTAAATGCTAATTGTAAGTTATACTTCATATATAAATCAGTTAAAGGTCTTAAAATTCCATGGAAGCAATGTTAAGTTATTAAATCTAATTCAACAAAATACAAATTCAATTCCATGAAATTTGAGGCATATCATATCCATATAAAATATATATTCATGCCAAGTAATATTAGAATCAAATACATCATTATAGCGAAAGTCTAAAAGTTTCCATAGAAATGTTAAATTGTTAAATCTTAAATTGACAAAAGGTCATCATAGTTAAAAAAAAATAAAATGGTCATATATAAGTAAGAGTTAAGATCAAGCCATCAAATTTAACTGATGTTCTTCCTGCTTCTCTGCTTCATGATCTTTCTTTTCTTTTTACTAGTTTCAGTACAGTCAAACTTCATTATCACATAATTTTTCACATTAATACATGCATATGAAATAATTAATGATAAAGTTATTATTTATCAATTTATGACTACAGTATCTTTGAAAGTAACCATACTTCCAGTGTTTTGATACATATCATAATCATCTGGTATCATTGGTTCTTCATAAACAAAACTTGCTTGCCTGGGTCTATCTGGTGCTGTCAGACCATTCACTGTTGGGGCCAACATCAACCCATTCTCAACACCTCCTTCAACAATACCAAGCAGTTCATTTTCTTGTGCTGCAATAATTTCTTCAGTTTCTTTCTGACACCTATCACATATAATATACTGCTTTTTATCACGAGGGTAAGGAACATACAAATGCCCTTTGCTGCAAGTATGACCATGTTTCCCAGGATAACCTTTGTTTAGCATTCTTGGATTATTTTTCCTATAGTCACTTTTCATGAATGTCTTATGAGGGTCTTCTGCCACTGGTGAAATAGATTTTTCAAGCCTTTTAGCCTCATAACGTTTTTGTGAACGTTTAGGGGCATAAGGATTATTTACAGTGCTGTAGCGCCCAGGTACATGGTACCATGCGGATTTATGATGTATTACTCTTGAAACATCCTTAGGCCCCATCTCTCCCATTAAACTGTTAACAGAGCTATGAGGACCCATGGTTGTACTTCTAGCATTACTGATATGAAGACTATGAGGACCTCGTGGTATATCACAGTTAGATTTATGACTGGCCGAAGACATTCCTGAAGCACTAGTATACAATGAACTGCCAATGCTTCGTATACTTCGTGCACTACTGATTGGTCGTTTGTGTCTACCTGTAGATTCTTTTCCAGTAGCCATACTCATCTCAGATGTTCGAAGTGTCACTTCACCACTTCTCATTGCTGCTAAATTACCTTGCATCATGTTTTCTGGGCTACCAAATCGACGATACAGTCTTTGTGGTGGAGTCTCTCTTCCCAATGGCTCTTCTACAGGTTTTCTTGTTGGTGTTGCTCTAAATGAAACAGCAGCTTTATCACTTTCTGCTGCAAAACTATCTAACAAGACTTCATTGTTAACTTTGTGTGCTTTATGAACATGTCCAGACTCTCCCTCAATACTGACATGTTTTGTCTCCTCTTCAGCATGTAGAGAATGTTCACTGTGTGGAGATAATTGTGGGGATATACCATCTTTCTGTTTTAATTTCCTATGTACAGTTTCTCTTTGTAAAAGCCTTGGTGTAAAACTTGACTCAAGCATTAACTTCTCTGATGCAGACATTGTGCTTGTCTGTTTGCTCATTGCATTGACAAAGTCCATCTGGCTACTCACAGGACGAGAGATGTTTTGGCTGTATGAACGGGACACGTGACTTCCTGCCCGTGACATCTGACTTCCTGGCCGGGACACCTGACCATAACTGCTTGATCTGCCAGACTGCAGACGTGATTTCTTTTCAATGTTGGCTAGATCGTGACTCCTCCATGACAAGGAGCTGTATGGTCTTTCTGATGACCTTATATCATGTTTAGCTGCCTTCAACGACGTTTCTAGATTGTTTAAGTACTGGCGAACTGCCCTTGTTTCTATATGCTCACTTCCTGAAATATAAGACATGAACATTTGAATTAATAGGAAAGAGCAATCACTCATCAAAATATCAAGTAAAAGATATTTTCAAATCAAATACAGAAATTACCATTACTTCAAAAGAAATGATAAACCCTTAAGACCAGACTAATATGTTAATGTTTTGTGATAACTTAAACAGCTTAAACCCTGTTTAGACTATTTATTGTATAAGTATCCCTATTAAGTTGTCTAAATGCTAGATATCTTAAAAAGTTTCACACCGACTTTGTATCAAAAGGAAATAACAGATTCTTATACATAAAACATGCAGCATTTAAACAGTTTTTGCTACCAAAAGGGAAATATTTCATCAGAGCAGCTTAAGTCTTAAGACAAGAATATTTCAGATTTCTTTATTCAACAAATTTAATATTTCTAGTTAATGCAATTCTATTTTAACTGCAAATTTGCTGACCAAACTATGACAGTAATACAACAAAATATGACAGTAATACAACAAACTATGACAGTAATACAACAAACTATGACAGTAATACAATAAACTATGACATTAATACAACAAACTATGATAGTAATACAACAAACTATGACAGTAATACAACAAATTATGACAGTAATACAACAAACTATGACAGTAATACAATAAACTATGACCGTAATACAATAAACTATGACATTAATACAACAAACTATGACAGTAATACAACAAACTATGACAGTAATACAATAAACTATGACAGTAATACAACAAATTATGATAGTAATACAACAAACTATGACAGTAATACAACAAATTATGATAGTAATACAACAAACTATGACAGTAATACAACAAACCTACATGTTCACAGTATACAGTCAAACCTGTCTTATAATGTTCAGACAAAGGAAATGTAAAACACGTTTTACTTGTAGACAAAAGTTTCAAACAAGTTATTATGCACTGATATTCGGTGACCAATTCTTTTTGTTTTAGTGAACATCTAATATATCTCACTAAACAAGAAGTATCTTTAAAAAAAATACTTGGCCAAGGTAAAACTGGTTAACTTGCATATGTTATTTATATATAGAAATATTAGCATTGCTTGCATAACCATGACATAACATATGTAGGAAGATAGGGCATACTTTAAAGGCTTTAAATAAACAAAATTTCAATATTGCAAACATGGTTGGACTACTCTACATATAACATGGCCCTGATATTCTACAACGTTGCATCACAACTAATGAGGCAATAACAACAATAGAACCAAACAATGTTAATTTATACGATGTCATGAAAATCTTTTTGTTGTACATAGTTCTAATTTAAAAACCAACGTTTTTGAAAAGCCCAAAGTTTAGAGGACTGTTCATGATTTAGTAGAAGTTAGATTACATTAGATCCCCTCAATCCTATTCAGAAGAAAAATTGTGAATTATCTGCCCTTGGATTAAGCAGAAACGTCCAATTCAGTGGCAGATAACGAACCACTCAAAATGTTTCTATTATCATATTCTAACAACATGCTCTTAGTTTAAATAAATTCTATTAAAAAAATTAATTTTCCCTTTATTTCTATTTCTATATGAAAACTCCAGAAAACTGTTTTTAAAATCAATCCAGGAGTGACAATTGTTGAATGGATACAACTAATATCATGACTTTGAAATACAAGTGTGACCTTGACCCTTCAGGTTGGGACCTAATTCATCATCATTATGTCCAACATATTTATGCATACAATATTTAAAATCAGTATAAACATCATAAAATATTGATTGCAGTTGTTGATTGCAGTTGTTACAAAACAATGATTTGCAAACTTAAATCTAGAGGTAATAATACTTAAAATCTATACTTTATAATCATGGATTAAAGACTTTGAAGATTTAAATCCAAGTTTGCAGGTCACCTGATCTGTGAACCCAATCATTTATAGGTTGAAGATCAATTTTTCATGGATTTACTGAAGTTATTTGATATGATTAAGCTACTTAAGATATTATAAAGCATTAAAAAGCATTTGAAGTGAAAGCAACATATCAATATATTTACCATAAAAATCCATACCTACCACTTACGGAATATTAGGTAAGAAATAATATCAAAATAATCTCAAACAAGAGGTCCTTAATGAACTTATGATTCTCACTTAAGAACTTCACAAATGCAGCATGTATAACAAACATGTCAATATCAGTAAAGCTCGAATTCGCTATTACTTTCATTATCTGTTTTACATCAATATTGACATATAGAAGTGACGAAAATTCCTATATAAAAGCATACGATTTATTGCCTACATTTTTGACAACCTGAAAAGTTACTTATTCAGCGTTTCAAACCGTAATTATTTGAGTGTAGAGGTAGAGTGTCTCCATAAGTGAGACCTTTACCTTTATTATAGATAAATCATGTAAATCTTCATTCAAATGGCATCAGTAGTCCGGACAAATTTTAAAAATTAAATCATTAAAAGACCATAACTCTGACAAAAATCAATAAACCAATGCAGATAATATGCACAACTGAACTTTGTATTGAAAATTGCTATTAAGTTTGGGTAAAATTGCACCGCCCTTTTGGAGGAGTAATCCAGACAAGCTTCTATGTAGCTGGCAACACAAATAAAACACCTTTATTATTTAAGGGCCATAACTTGATCAAAACTCATGCAACCGGAAACCTGTGTAAAATGCAAAAGTACTAAATGAGCTACCAATCAATCATGTAATGTTTCATTGAAATTGCATCAGAGGTATAAGAGGAGTAGTCCGGACAAATTTTATTCAAGGGCCATGACCCACCCAAAAATCATTCAAGCTGAAAACCTGTGTACTATGCATGAGTACTTGAGCAATAGATCAATCCTGTAAATTGCATTAAGGTTATAAGAGGAGAAGTATGGAAAAGTTTTATAATAAAAATCATAAAAGAGCCATAACTCTGACAAAAAAAATTGAACCGTAAAATTCCAATATCATGCACAACTAGACTTGGTACTGATCGTGCCTGTGAAATTTCACCAGTAGTTTCTGAGAAGTAGCCCAGAAAAGCTTCTGTGTAGGTGCAAATAAAAAAGCCCTTATCATTCAAATAAACTCGCCAACAGGCCACCACCGGCATGAAAGCCAAACATAACATACAAATTTAAAAGAAATTAAGGAAACCTTTTTTTTTGTTTTGATCTCCACACTTTATTTTGCCAAAGTAAAAATTAATTCACAAAATTTTAAAAAATCTACCCTTAGTTTTATAAATTCGGGGTTTTTTTTAAATTTTTTTAACAAACAAAGGAAAACCCTATCCCCCGGGGGAGGGCTAGTTTTGAACTAGAGGAAAAATTTTGAACAATTTTGGTAGATACCTAAATATACAATACCAAAATCAAACTTAACCTTTTAAGAAATAATTTTTTTTTTTTTCACTAATTACATAAAACAAACCCCCGGGGGGGGCCAAATTTTTGACCCCGGGGCAAATTTTTTGTTCAATCTTGCTAGAGTTAAATACAAAAATTTCAGAAAATATCTAATCTAGTTTTTCTTTTAGAAAGTTTTTAGTTTTTATAACAAAGGCCCTATCCCCCCGGGCAGGCAATTTTTCAAAAGGGAAAAAGAAAATTTTGGAAAACCTTAAATAAAATAAAATCCCCTCGCCGGTCCCTTAAAAGAATATTATTTTCATTTCAAAGTGAAAAAAGACCCCGGGGGCGGGCCGATTGCCCCCAGGGCTAAAATTGAAAATTTGGGAGGTCACCAAAAACCTTTATCAAAATCAAGCCAGGTTTTTGGGTCTTTCAAAAATTTTTTTTATTATTTTAAATTTTTTGGTTGCCAGGAAACCCAGAACGCATAAAAAATTTTTTTTAAAAACTTTGGAAGGGCCCACCAAAACAATCCGAATTTGGTTAAAAAAATTTTTTTCACAAAATTTTTTTTAATTTCACTAATAACAAATATAACACAAACACCCAAAAAAACACACACACGGGTAATCGCTAATCCCCCCGCATGAACGGGGCAAAAAATAATTTTATCATTCAAGGGCCATAACTCGGCCAACAAGAGCCACCACCGGGCGGGGGCAACGTTCGATAAGAGCAAACAATAAATGGTTCATACAAATCTTTAAAAAGAAAATTAAAGAAAAGAAATTAAGTTTTTCCTTTTTTTATTTTTAATAGATCTGTCTAATCACACTTGTTGTTTTGTCCAAGCATGAATCCTTTCCAAAAAATAAATGACAAAATATGAAAATACAATCCAAATTCTATCATTTGACAGTCAAGGTCATTTAAAGGTCAATGACATATCTAAATTATTCCCTATGTATATTTAGTCACAAGTGTTGTTTTGTCCACATATGAATCAAATCTGGACATAAATAACAAAATTATGACAATTTCACCAAAATTCTATACTTTAATAGCGATAGTCTAGGTCATTTAAAGTTCAAGGTCAAGGTCAGTTCAACCTTTAAAAATGCCTTGTTCAAAAGGTTGTCAAGGCCAATTTGACTTTGATATACATGATGGTCCTGACCTAAAAGATGTAGAGGTGACACAATAAATGCAGATGCTGTGGCCGATAAGGTCATAACAAAAGCTCCATTTACTTTTCTTTCAAAATAGCCAAATATCAATACAATTTGTATGATGGTACAAGGACCATGTAGTTTCATTTAATTTAAAAGAGTTCTCAGATATAATGTATACAACATGTACAGAAAAGAATCCTCAAAGTTATAATATAATGTTTTTCATCATCTTTGATTGCTAAATATATTTTCTCTGATAATCATTTATTATTAATGTTTAAATATGTTAAATACTAAAATTAAATGTAAACTACTATACCTGATATTTTTAATTCATGCTCAGGAATTCCTGTTAAAAATGTATGAATTGTTGTATACATTTTCTTGCCTTTTCAAGGAAATTTCTTAAATCCAGCTAGAATAATATTTTCAGAGTTACATTGCACACTATGCTGTTGATTAAATGTTCCAATACATTATAACAAAAGGTCTCAATCAGCCAAGCTATTCATCATTACGTATTAAAACATCCTTTTTGTTGTAAATTTTTAAGCTAAAGAACACAATATAAAAGAGAGTTTTCATCAGGCTTAGTGTGTCTGATCCCCTGTCAGTAAATGCCCCACATGACCTCTAAGTATTTTATACTTGCCACGTTCAAATCAATAAGAATAAATCATCTATCTATATTCTGTATCCATTAATGACAAAAGTCCTTGATTGTTCTTTGACTCAGTGTCACATTTCCTTTTTCAATACTTCATCGTCGTATTATTTTTCTCCAATCTATGCTTCCTAATAAGTAACTATTATATACATGCATATATGAATGGTTTATTGTTCAATATATCAGATATCAACAGAGCAGTTACCTAATGTTTATATGATAATTATTTGATTAAATGCAATAATGATTATGAATCATGAATACCGTGACCTGAATAAATATTCCTAGAGATTCTATCTCTCATATTGTAGATATTTATCATTTTAATACTCTTAAGTACCTAAAAGAATGATTAAAAGAATGATTTAACACTGCACAATTCTTATATACTAAACTACCAGTTGTTTTCATTGACAAGACTTAGTGCAACTTTATTCAATGTAACTTGTATACCATATGCTTATGTTTATTAATCCAAGCATTCAAATGTTATCAAACAACAATACAAGAGGGCCATTATGGCCCTAGATCACACACCTAAGATATATTGCTAGAAAATGTCACATATTTTTAATGCAGAAGTAAGTAATTAGGTCATATTGGGTGTGTTATTTTTGTTGCGCTGCATTTATAAGCTGCTTGACCATTCTAGCTAAGTGTCTAGGTATTTACACCTTGTACATTTTAACTATTTTCTACCCCTGACTATAACATTATAAATAATGGTCTGCAGTTTACTGACTGCTGACTTGAGACAGGATAACATTTTTATAAAACAGTGTGGAATTTGCTGCTGTCTCAGACATGAAACTGACTATTACAGGACAGGGTCATGTTAAAACAAGAGTGCATCAGTATGGAGCCATCTATATAACATTCGTATAGAACATACCACCTAACGATCATTCTTTGAAGTTTTGTCAAAATCTATATTGTAGTTTAGTGAGATATATATGTTTAAAGAAACTTAGGATAACAATGTGGAGAGGTGGATAATTTAGCTTGCATGTGGAATCCCTCTGAAATTTGGATATCAACTAGCGATAATCACAAAAAAACTAGTAAAAATCACACAAAAACTAGTGAAAATCTGCAAAGTATTAACTCATGACCCCATCTGGAAATATAGTATAAAATCAACCCCTTTAGGTTATGCAGTAACTCCTGATAAGTAACAAATGACAATGAATAAAGACCACAGTCACACTGACATCATAAAAGCTTATCTCTGAGCAATTTCCGGGTTCAGGTGAGCTATAAAAAAAGCCACTATGAAAATGTAAATATTAGAAATTCCAGAATACAGTCCTTGTTTATATAATTTTATGTGACGCACCTATGATCTCACTGATTATAAATGATCCAAATATTTATCATATTTCAAACTGAATATGAATTATCTCTTTTTTAATATATTCACACAAGGCCTGATTTAATCTTGTACAAATAATTTTGAACATTTATTTCCTTACACTATCAACACTGTAATCTAATAAGACAAAAGAATAATCATGAAAAATCCTCGTTTAATTTAAAAAACAAATTTAAACACTCTATGTACTTTTATGTAACACTTTTTACATCAAATACAATACTAATTTTTTCATTTAATATTTATGACTTTAATCAGTTTGGAATAATACAAGAACACAATTTTCCCCTGCACATTTCATATAGAATTGAAAGGTTATAATGCCAATACCATTATGAATTACTGTTACAAATATCAAATAAAAATCCAATCTGTTTTACAACAGTAGGTGGCATTACTAGATATTAGAATGATAGGCTTTATAATTAAACTTCTTACTGACAATAACTGTGACAGATATTCAATATAATATTACCATTATAAATCTCAATGTACTATAAATAAATTGACCTGTTCCCAACTTAAGTTTAACATTCAACTAACATATAACATAAACATTAATTCAATCTCAACAATATTGAAAATATGTATAAACATTAGCATTTTTCTAAATAAATATTTGATTTTCACTTTAAGTTTTCAAATGAACAAATTTTAACTTTTGAACAACCTATCTTACAATGAAATAATACAATTTTATATATAAAAATACTTTATACAACAAGATGGCCATTTGGGAAACAGAATAAAAAGTACATTTGTTTGTATCTTTTCCTCTGGCACAAATAGGAAAAACTCTGGAAAATAACCAATTTTTCATGAACTTCATGGAAACAAGCTTTTCCAGATATATGGAGAACTCTGGAACTGGATCTTACCATCAAAAGAAAAACCATGAAACAGTTCTGGGAAGTCTGCAGACTCAACTTTTAGACAATTTACAAGGAGTTTTACTCTGCATGAAACACACTTTTGAAATAAAGAAAAACAAACACACTTTTGAAATAAAGAAAAACAAAAACAATTTGGCATGTTTTCTTCATTAGTTTTTAGAATGACCTTCCCCTAGGTGTTTATGATATGTCAGCATTATAGTGATTAAAGGCTTTTTTCATGACATCATATTGCCTAACAATCTTGTCATGTAAAGTGTTATAAAAGTCGGATAAGGATCATTATGTCAAAATTAGGAAAATTCTAATTTTAACAGGAAGATAATTTTGAAAATAATAATCCTTTGAAAAATAGAGAAATTAGAGCAAAAAAAAGAATAATGTGAAAAAATGTTATCAATTTAATACTTTCATTACAGCAAGGTACATTTCAATGTAGAAGGTAAAAAAATTACATAAAATTTCAATCATCTTCTTATTGAATATCTAACTTTAATTTAAACTATTTAACTTAAAGAATAATAAGTATTTGAAAATGTGTATCCTCATATTATGTAATTCATCTAAAACATATGAATTACAAATTATCATATCATAAAATTGCAATGTATATCTTTATGAAACATTTTTGATAATCAAAAAGAAAACAAAAATATCATTATTTATAAGCAAGCTCCATATATCACATACTATTGGATATATTCATACAATAAAGTGCCAATTTAAAATACCTCAAATAATTTATTCTATGCTTATCTGTGAAATACTGAGGTGATTGATGGTTGGGCTTATTGAAAAACAATTGTATATGTATAAATTGATTCATAGTGATGGAAATTGAATATGTTTATTAGTTACAGTAACTGCTTTATCATGGCCACCATATCGGATTCGTTATTGGATGTAATATTAATGTCTAAGGCATTACAATAAACCATTAGCTTTTCCTATGGCATTGATTTAAGCCTACCGGTCCTGTCCTGTCACAGTATAAAACAAGAACTAGTATGGAAGTAATGGAATTTCCGTATGGTAATGCTTCCCTTTCACAACTGTGCAGTCATCTAAACAGACGTTATACTTTATTCGGTGACCATTTTCTTCAAAGCTTTAATAAGTTATAGAGTTGGGTTATATAGACATATAAATATACACTTTGAAAATTTGCAGCAGTTTTTCATTGGATCACTGAAACAGACCAGTCTGTGAAACTGTCACTCTGATTAAAAAGTTCTTGTTACCAAATCAGTGTAGAATTCTGACACAATTTTATCAAATAAGCAGAAGAAAGGTAAGAAACCCTGTAACCAAATCATAATTTCTTTAGACATATAATAAAATTTATAGCAAATGACTAAAGACAGAGTGAGTGTGGAACAGCAGTTTAAATGATCAGAATGACTAGAAATGCGTTCTAACACCACAAATGCAGACATAATTTCGAATGTTATAATAATATTTAGTTCCAAATTTGTTTGCACAAACCATTTTTTCATTCTAAGTTCAAGGCCCTTAAACTATTCAATGTTAACACAAACCATTTTAAAAAAAAGTTTAAGGCCCTGAAACAATTCATTGGTAACCTTTGGTAACCTTTGTACCTGAAATAATGATAAAAAATTGTTCAAGGGAGATAACTGTCAAAAAAACATCTGACCATGACCATATAAAATACCAGCACATGCAATATCAACCACGAACATACATTCCTATAAAAGTTAGAGCAGAAAGTGAAAATTTCTTTTCTTTTTTTCAAAGTTAAAGGGGCATAACTCTGCCAAAAATCATTAAACCATGAACAAACTTGACCTGGGCATTTTTGAGTTGAATGTGTACATGGGGAGATAATGAACAGAAACTGAAAATTTCTTCAAGGGGCATAACTCTGTGGAAAATCATTGAACCATGACCAAATTCGAACTTGACCTCCATTTTCCTATGATATCCATATGTCAAATTTGAGCTGAATCCAAGATAATGAACGGAAACTGATGATGATGGAATGACAGAAGGACAGAATGACAGATAAGGCAAAACAATATGTCTCCAAATTTTTGAGAGACATAAGAAATTATTATTATAAATATTAATAAAATAATAAATAAATAAAATATAAATAAATATTAAACAAAAATGAAGTATATTTTAATTAAAATAAAGTAAACATTACCAAGTCTTGTAATTCTTATATCTAGAGCTCTTGTTAGCAAACTGTTACATTCTGCTCGTCCACAAAAACTTGTCTCCTGTTTCAACAACTTTCCTGAAATATACAATATCACACATGTGATAATAATCAAAGCTGAAAAGGTGGTAAATTTTGGTCAAACAATGCAATATTTTTTGTAATCTTTACTTAATTTTTTTTTAACCTGAGCCATTAATCCTGTTTATTTGTTATCAACATTTTTAAAAAGTAAAAAAAAAGCTCTGAGCAAACAATATATTCTACACTTGAATAAATAATTAGTGAGGAATTTGTTCCTTGTAGACAGTCAGTTTATGTATGATAGATATATGTCAACAGTATTGTTTTCTTCACATGATGCTATAACAATGATACCAATATATTACTTGTATTAACAAAAAACAAGAGCTGTCAGAGAAGAAAGAGACAGTCAACTTTTAACTTAAATACTGGACGCAGTAAAGGAAGACAAAACTATGGGGGGGGGATGTGATACAAATATATTTCTGTATCAGTATCAAAAATACACTCAAATGTTCAATATTTTTGCACAACATAATATGCATGTAACCATGTCAATAAAAGTTAAACTGACATTTCTATACTCTAATGGAAAAAACAAAAAATAATTTGTAGTCTGAAGTCAATCCCTTCAGTAACAAAAATGATAAGAGCAAAAAGTAGATAAAGTTTTTAAAGTAAAATTTAAGTTCAAAGAGGAAATAACTCTTGAAATAAAGATGCTAGAGTTTTGAACATTGTCATGCATGATGTGAGTAATGACAAAGAACAATTATCTTTAGTCTGCAATAGATAACATTTATAATAAGAAAGATAATTATTCTTAAGAAAATATAACAATTTTCAAATAAATTCTAGAAAAGATACCATTTATAATGCTTTTAAAGTAAATCTTTTGAAAAATAAAGAAGTTAGAGCAAAAAATAACAATTTCTATTAAACAAGAGCTGTCCGTAAGACAGCGCGCTCGACTTTTTTATTGCTTGCCAATAAAAAAAGTTTTTGCAGTAAAAGGCAATACAAGAATCTCTGTATTTTTAAAGTGAACAATGGCCATGAGCATTAAGATATTTAGTGAAGAATTATTTTACTGAATTGTGTGATACCCTTGAACACTGCAGGTTCAGTGGATAGGAATGAATTTTTTTAGATTTTTTAAGTTTTTTAGTGCTTGCCTATAATACAAAACATTGACAGTTAAGGGCCATAATTCAAATAAAATCTTTGACAGAATTACCTTCTCCTGGACATGTTTGGGAATCATGATTGTAAACAAGTATTCCAACTTTCAAATTAATATCTCAAACAGTTCAGTCAAAAAGTGGATGGTACTAAAAACTTAACCAAGATTCTAAGTCGATAAAAGGCCTTAATTTTTAAAACAAATCCTTGACAGAGTTACCTTCTCTTGCGTACAGATGGGGTAATGATGTGAAATAGCATTAAAAGTTTCAAAGCAATATCTCAAAGGGTTAAGGCAATAAGTGGATTTTACCCATATTCAATGTATTTTCTAAGTCAAAAAGGGGCATAATTCTGTCAAAAACCTTGACAGAGTTATGTCCTCTTGTCTGTTGATGAAGGTCGTGATGGTAAACAAGTATGGTCAGTTTCAAAGCAATACCTCCAATGGTTTTGAAATAAAGTGAGGTGGTACAAAAAACTTAACCAAGCTCAATACACTTTCTAAGTCAAAAAAGGGCCATAATTCTGTCAAAAACCTTGACAGAGTTATGTACTCTTGTCTGTAGATGGAGGTTATGATGGTGAACAAGTATGGTAAGTTTCAAAGCCATACTTGTAATACTTCTGAAATAAAGTGGGGTGGTACGAAAAACTTAACCAAGGTGTGACGCCAACGCCGACGCCGGGGCGAGTAGGATAGCTCCCCTTTTCATAGAAAAGTCGAGCTAAAAACATAAAAACATTCCAAGTTTAAAGGGGGAATTATTCTTGAAATATTCACACTAAAGTTTTGAATCTTATCACACATGATGTGGGTAATAGTAGGTAACAAATTTATTGTATTTGAGGTTTGAAGTAGATACATTAGAATCTGAGAAAGCCTTAACCTGTATTTTGCACAGCAATTGCTGCCAATTTTTGTTTATTTCCTTTTATCAATTTTGAAATTCATAAACAACCACTGTGACCCTGACCTGACAAAACCCTAACCTGCACTCTGCACATTGTCTCATTATGGTAAATATTTCTATTATACTGTAATTTCTATTTCCTTCAATCAGATCAAAACATACAGAGCAGATAACATATTCCTAAGAGACAAGCAGATGGATGTTCAAAAAGTTCATTGCAAGACTTAGTATAGGACAGAAAATCAGAAACACATATGGACGTGTCAGAATAAAAAAAGATATGAATAAAATCATTGATTATGATTGTCAAATGAATATAAAGATGGAGTATTATTATAAAACAAGCAAATTCGTTGAATTTATATTCCCCGCCGAGTACTGGTTATTATTAACACGTTACAACTGAAGACATAAGGCTTTATTTATATATAAATCATGGCATAAACAGTAATATTCTTTGAACTTGATAAATATTCAGGGCAATAACAGAGCCATAATTTTGTGTTAAATAGTAAAATCTGGAAATGCCAATGAGATGTATGCATACTGCATAACTAATCAAGGGCCATAAATCTGAGTTATAAGTATCTGACCGGGAACATCGCGACAATATGCACATCTCCTCTTAGTATCCCATACAGTTTCATTGAATTCCAACCAGTAGAAGCAGAGAAGTAGCGAGGAAACAAATATTTTTCTATATGGATACTGCATAACTAATCAAGGGCCATAACTCTGAGTTAAAGTGTCTGACCGGAACAAGCCGACGATATGCGCATCTCCTCTTGGTATTGAAGGTTCCCATAAAGTTTCGTTGAATTCCAGCCAGTAGTTGCTGAGAAGTAGCGCGGAAAAGATTTTTACTCTATATGCATACTGCATAACTAATCAAGGGCCATAACTCTGAGTTAAAGTGTCTGACCGGAACTAGCCGACAATATGCGCATCTCCTCTTGGTATTGAAGGTTCCCATGAAGTTTCGTTGAATTCCAGCCAGTAGTTGCAGAGAAGTAGCGCAGAAACGATTTTTACTCTATATGCATACTACATAACTAATCAAGGGCCATACCTCTGAGTTAAAGGGTCTGACCGGAACAAGCCGACGATATGCGCATCTCCTCTTGATATTGATGATTCCCATAAAGTTTCGTTGAATTCCAGCCAGTAGTTGCAGAGAACTACTACGGAAACGATTTTTACTCCATATGCATATTGCATAACTAATCAAGGGCCATAACTCTGAGTTAAAGTGTCTGACCGGAACAAGCCGACAATATGCGCATCTCCTCTTGATATTGAAGGTTCCCATAAAGTTTTGTTGAATTCCAGCCAGTAGTTGCAGAGAAGTGGCGCGGAAACGATTTTTACTAATCAAGGGCCATAACTCTGAGTTAAAGGGTCGGACCGGAACAAGCCGACGATATGCGCATCTCCTCTTGATATTGATGATTCCCATAAAGTTTCGTTGAATTCCATCCAGTAGTTGCAGAGAACTACTCCAGAAACGAAATTCGGACGTACGGATGGACAGACGGACGGACAACGCCAAAACTATATCCCCCTCCCGATTCCATCGGCGGGGGATAATAACACATGTCCCTTAGGGTTAAAGTGTATATTAGCAACCTAAAAACTGAAATAACCCCCCAGACAGATTATAATATTGATAATATTTATCATGCTGAATAACATTTTAAAAGGAAAACATTTTAATATAGTAACAAGAGGGCCATGATGGCCCTGAAGTCGCTCACCTGTATATAGGCCCCACAGAGCGGGGCCAGTTTAAACTCCAGGGCTTTTATTTGAACAAACTTGGTAGACACCCATTAGAAGATGTTTCATGCCAAACATCTAAGGTCTAGCTCGTTGGGTTTTTTAAAAGAAGATTTTTAAGTTTTTTCTTTACACATTAATTTAATATTTAAAAACAATTACACCCCTGGGGCAGGGCCAGTTTTGACCCAAGGGCTTTTATTTGAACAATCTTTGTAGACACTTACTAGAAGATGTTTCATGCTTAATATCTAAACTCTAGCTATTCGGGTTTTTTCGAAGAAGATTTTTAAGTTTTTGCTATACACATATAAGGAAAATCAATGTCCCCTGCGGCGGGGCCAATTTTGACCCAAGGGCTCTTATTTGAACAAACTTGGTAGACATCCATTAGAACATGTTTCATGCTAAATATCTTAGCTCTAGCTCTTTGGGTTCTTTAAAAGAAGATTTTTAAGTTTTTTGCTATATTCATATAGGGAAAATCAATGACCTCCCTGGGGCGGGTCCAATTTTGATCCAAGGGCTCTTATTTGAACAAACTTGGTAGACATCCATTAGAACATGTTTCATGCTAAATATCTTAGCTCTAGCTCTTTGGGTTCTTTAAAAGAAGATTTTTAAGTTTTTACTATATGCATATAGGAAAAATCAATGACCCCCTGGGGCGGGGCCAATTTTGACCCCAGGGCTTTTATTTGAACAAACTTGGTAGACACCCATTAGAAGATGTTTCATGCTAAATATCTTAGCTCTAGCTCTTTGGGTTCTTTAAAAGAAGATTTTGTAAGTTTTTACTATATACATATAGGGAAAATCAATGACCCCCTGGGGGGGCCAATTTTGACCCCAGGGCTTTTATTTGAACAAACTTGGTAGACACTCACTAGAAGATGTTTCATGCCAAATATTTAAGCTCTAGCTCTTTGGGTTTTTTAGAAGAAGAAATTTAAAGTTTTTCTTTTGGTTGCCATGGCAACCAGAGTTCTGCATGGAATTAAATTCTTTAACAATTTTCAAAGGTGACCACCAAAGGAACAATCCTGTGAAGTTTGGATGAAATTGGCTTAGTGGTTTATGAGGAGATGTCATTTAAAGTAAAAGTTTACGGACGACGGACGGACGGATGACGGATGGACGGACGCCTGACGAAAGGCGATCACAAAAGCTCACCCTGTCACAAAGTGACAGGTGAGCTAAAAAGTTTATTGGAGCAGAGTGGCCAGGGGAGAGAACTAGAACAATACTTTTTCTTAAGTCTATATAGATTACTTACCCATGGGGAGTATTGCAAAAAAATTATTGACTGGGTGATATTCAGTTCCAGAATGATAGATTGAAATAACACCATGTGACGGTACATTTGGCTATAAAGTAAAAAGTTTATGTGAGGTATCATAAAAAAAACAACTATAAATACCTAGCTCAAACAGACATTCAGCAACTTGAATATGATCTTTGTCAAGGTGGAATTCTCGTATCTCGAGACATCTGCGCAATGCATCACTGGCAGCTCTTTTATCAAATCTAAAATCAAAGAAGAGAGTTAGATGGCCCTGGATTGCTCACCTGCTAGAGAAGGTTACAGTTCTTCAATGCTAAAGTCATTAATAAGGACTCTTAAGGTTTTCTTTTTTAACCCAAGCTACATATTTTCTTAAAACATTTGTAGATGTCAGCAGAAATACCATATGCCAAATATCAAAGCTCTGGCGATTGTGATTTCACAAAGAAGATTTGAAGGTATTTTCCTATGTAAGTCTACAGAGGTTGTGCCTATTTTGACCATAGGAGCATGATTTATGTAACTTTTGTAGAGGACCACAAGGTGATGCTACATGCCAAATATCTAAGCTCTGAGCATTGTAGTTTCTGAGAAGTTTTTTTTTTATAAATTTATATTGTTTATAAACGACATGACTTATATAAATTCATCATAGATTCACTAGCCAACGCTCGATGCCATATATCTAAGCTTTGGCAATACATTTGAAAAAGAAAATCCTATATAACTATTTATAAGCTCCCTTGAGCTACTTACACACAGGACTGAAACTTATATATAATGTTTATAATAATATAACGTTTGGCCACCTAAGTATCAACTTGTAAAGTTTGATCAAAATCCACCTTGTGGAGGAGATGCCATTTAAAACAGTTTGGATAACAAAGAAAACTAGAACTGCCACTATCATGGCGTGAATACCCCCGCATACCAGTTTGTCAGAATCAACAGTGGCCATTTAGAGCTCAAGGACAACCTCCCTGCCAAATCTGAGGTTACTAAGTTATGTATTCTACATGCTTCAAATGTGAAAATGTCAAAATAAATACATTGCGGACAGGACATTCTTTAGCAATTGAGAAGAAAAGCTTTTTTTTTGTCAAGGTCCCTGTGACCTTGACCTTTGACCTGGTGACCTCAAAGTCAATAGGGGTCATCTACTTATCATGACTAGCCTCCATGCCAAATATGAAGACTGTGGGTCAAAGGAATGTTAAGTTATTGGGCGGACAAGCTTTTTGAAGTCAAGGCCCCTGTGACCTTGACCTTTGACCTGGTGACTTCAAAGTCACAAGGGGTCATCTACTAATCAGGACTAACCTCCATGCCAAATATGAAGACTTTGGGTCATAGGAATCTTAAGGTATTGGGCGGACAAGCTTTTTAAAGTCAAGGCCCCTGTGACCTTGACCTTTGACCTAAAAATCCATAGGGGTCATCTACTAATCATGACTAACCTCCATGCCAAATATGACGACTGTAGGTCAAAGGAATCTTAAGTTATTGGGTGGACAAGCTTTTTGAAGTCAAGGCCCCTGTGACCTTGACCTTTGACCTAGTGACCTCAAAATCAATAGGGGTCATCTACTAATCATGACTAACCTCCATGCCAAATATGAAGACTAAGGGTCAAAGGAATCTTAAGTTATTGGGCGGACAAGAAAAAACCGACGGACAGCCGGACGGACGGACGGCCGGACGGACGGACGGACAAGCTGATTCCAGTATACCCCCCTTACAACTTTGTTGTGCGGGGGTATAAAAAGGAAGATGGACACACTGCCATCATAAAAGCTCCGCTCTGAGCGCTTTTGATCAGGTAAGTTAAAACAGAAAACTTTTTATGGTTATATTTATGATTATATTTTATGAACAAAATTAATACTTAAAGTCTATTTTACCCTTGAAAGTGAGACACATGCTTTCATATGATATAAGCTATTTTCAGGCAGACATACAACTTATACTTCTGCTGACATCTAACATTCTCATGGAAATATGTAGTCTCACTCAAAACTGCATTGTGGGTGAAGAAATAAAGCTTAAAATCTTTTTAATGTCACCAGTTAATGACATCCATCTAATTTCTGAAGTCACTGATACATCATCATTGCTTATTATACTCCGGAATAAATGGTCTACCATATATTTAAAAGCCACTGCCAAGTGGGGACCACACTCTATTTCTTAATTCTATGGTCAAAACATTGAAGAAAGAATGAAATACTCCTAGAAAACATAACTCTCTTGAACAAATTATTGTTTAACTTTAATTACTTCAGTCTAGGTGACATTTGAATTAATCATCATTGTCAATTTTGTAGAGTAAGTGTTTTTTTGTCCAAGAATAACCCAAATCCATAAAATAAATAACAAAGTTATGACAATTTAAGTAAATTTCAATAGTTTGACCATGAAAGTCAATTAAAGGTCAAAGTAATATCAGAATAATTCAACATGTTGGTTTTGTAATATGTGTTGTTTTGTCTAAGTATAATTCAAATTTGCAAATAAATAACAAGGTTATGACAATTTGAAGTTTTGAACTAAATTCAATAATTTGACCCATGAAGGCCAACATGTCATTTCAGTCATAAGTGTTTTTTTCTCCAAGTATAAATCAAATCCATTTTTCCTTCGAAACAGATGAGCTAAAAAAATTGATAAGACCAGTGTTATTAACTTTATTTGGCTATTAATTCATGTTCTTAATACAGGTAGTGCTAGTAATATGTAAATACTATTTTACAGTCAAAACTGTCCATTTACCCTTTATCATTTTTTTCATCTGCCATAAGTACCCCCAGTTGGAAAAGAATGTCTGCTACCAAAGTGTGATTTCTACCATACCACATCTGTCTTAGCATTAAACTCTTGCGTAAGTTTGTCTCTGCCATCAAATAATCATTCTGAAGCATTCTGAAATATATAAAAATTAGCTCCCCTGAGACTGGGCAATATATGCCAGATGGCAAATTAACAAGAAGGTATCATGCAAATAGAAAGAGAGCAAAATTATTGTTGTAAATGGCTCAGATCATGAATTTTCCTTCCAACAATTGTAAGAGAAAAATAGTCTTATTTTCTCATACATTGTATAAGTAATTGAAGATAATTGAACATTATGACTTGAATTTCATTTTGATTGAAAGAAATCAATTAAATCAGGTTGCAATCAGCTGAATGCAAATTTAACTTGTCTTTTGTTAGTACATACTGAATGCCAAAATATAAACACATTTAGTGAAATCTCTTTAAAACTATTCTGTGAAAACCAATAATTACACCAAAATTTTGCTGAATAAGGGGCATAACTCTTGATTGCAATGGAAACTGTTGTTTTGTCCAAGTATGAATCATTTCCATAAATAAATGACAAAGTTAAGAAAATATAGGCAAAAATTCATTTATAATTTAAAATAACAAAGTTATAGCAGTTACAAGAAAAAAAAGAGAATTCCATTTATTTGACCTTGATTGTTAAGGTCAATTTAAGGTCAAGGTCATATTACAATAATTCAAAATGTTGGTTTGGTAGCAAGTCTTGTTTTGTCTCTAAGTACGAGGAATGATCAAAAATTGACTGGACTTTGTAGATTATTCTTAACCTGTTACTGGCATTTACATAACTGAACATAAATCGGAATCTATCCCCTAAATGATACAAAAAATACCAACAAGAAATATAAACAAATAAAAAAGTTACATTGTTATTGGCATGTACATGTAAAGCAATGCGGCGCATGGTTTAGCTTAAAAATTGACGTTAACGATGCCACAAGCGTATTATCTTCAACGGAACAGCTTTTAACTCTTTGAAAATTGTAGCTTACAGTTTTTGTATACATTGCTTGCAATGTATACAGAGTTATAAGCTATATCTCGGAAATCGTTACAGGTTAAGTTGTTACCGAACAACATCCACTCCCGGATAAAAACCGTTATAGAAACTAGTTCTTCATTCTGCAGTAGCGTTACATTCCGACTACACATCATTTATATAGTGTTTGCAAAGTTGTTTAAATGCTTTGAAAGTTCCAAATCGTTCATTTTCATGAAATAATAGACTCTACATTCCTTTAAATAACAGTTCATTGATAAAATCGTAGTTTATACCTACGCGTTAAACTTCACATATATGCATGCGCTTGCTAGTATGAATGAATACATCGTAAATATAGTAAAGTCGTCAGAATTATATAAATGGGACGAAACATCCCAGATAGATATTTAATCAAATAAAATTCCTGATTTACATTTATGCAATAAAATTGGCCTATAATGTTTTACAAAATGAGTATGGAGCTCCGTAACAAAATTTACCAGCGTATGACACCGGAAAATGTTTTTTTGTTTTTTTTTAAACCTGGCAATTATCCGTGCTTCGAAAAATAGAAATTCGTAAGCCTATTCTTTGAATACCTTTTTTACACATGATTTTTCAATTTCAAACTTTGTATACCTTAGAATTTTTTAAAAGAAATATGTTTCGAATTCAGCGAAGATTGCATGATTCAGTAACGGGTAAAAATAAAGATTCGAGCCGCTCGACCGTTCGACCCATAACAATTCATTGAACTTGGGATATGACGGATTAAGCCAAAGCATGGAGCTCAATATAAGCATATGTGGCCAGGATTCGACGATAAGAAATAATCATTGAAACTAATGTAAATCAGGTTAAATACATTAAAATAGGAATTATTTAATCTGCTTATATTATGGTGCATGGATGATTGCCGAAAAACACCATAAAAAACACACAAACAATACCGAAAACACTAAAAATACAAAAGAAATATTAAGGCTGTGATTAAATTCAAGCAATATAAACAATTTTGAGGTTATTTGATGAAATGGTTCAATAAATCAGTTTTAAATCGATAATATATCATAAATACGCTGATAAATGATTCGCTGAGCTTGCGTCGCACATAGAAAGCCGAAAACACATGTCACAGGCAAAAAAAAATGCTAATTTCCATTTTAATCACTAGAGAAATTGTTTTCACAATTCCGATCAATAAATTATCAATTGTCAGCATTATAAGTCGAAAAGAACACACTATAAAAAATGTTTTGGAACTCAACGGTAAGCTTGAAAAATATGGATAAGCCGAAAAAAACAATTTTTATGGCGATTACAATTGGTATAATTCCAACAAAATTAGTTTTATCTACTTTTTTCTATCCTTTAAATGATTAAAATTTACTTTCTTTTTGCAACCAGTGTAAATTAGAGAATGATTCTATTCTGTATTTAATGCGATATGAAAGTGTTTTTCGGCAACGTAACAGTCTAGCGTCAAAAACGTGGAAAAGCCGAAAAACACATTTTTACGAGCGATAAATAGTAGTAGTTAAAACAAGAGCCGCTACTTTTTTTTTCAACCTTTTAAATGACTATTACTTTTACTATTACTTTTTTTGTTACCAATGGAAAATGTCCATAAATACAGTATGAAAGTGTTTTTCAACTATGTAACGGTCTAGGGTCAAAAACATGGAAAAGTAAAAAAAAAAAACAACAAAAAAGAAACACATTTTACTGGCGATGACATGGACATTTTTAAAATAAGAACTTTTAAATAATTTTTTTCAAACGTCTAAAAGAATGATTATAACATCATATTTGTAAGCGATGTAAAATATCAGTAATATTTTTGTAATAAACATTGTATGAAAGTGTTTTTTTTCGGCTATGGTTACTGCCTAGCGTCAAAACATAGAAAAGTCAAAAAAAAAAAAAAAAAAAAAAAAAATAACAAACAAAAAAAACAAAAACCAAATCAAACAAACAAACAAACAAAAACATTTTTACTTGCGATAAAATAGAATATATTTCAAAAAAGTGCTGCTAAATACATTTTCAACTGTTTAAATGAAATAAACTATTACATAAATTTTATTACCATTGTAAAATGTCAGTCATTTTTTTGTGAAAAACTTGTGTTTTTTCGGCTATGTAACAGTCAGTGTTAAAAAACATGGGAAGCCGAAAACCACATTGGACCCTGCGATAAGAAAGGCTATATAAAATGAAAAATACCCATAAAATTAGACTTTTCAATAATAATTAACTTTTATTTTATTGTTTACAGTAAAAACTAAAGCAATCGTTTATACATTTATATGCTATATGAACTTTGCCCGTAGTTACAAATAGAGTAAAGAACATATATAGAAAAGCAATAATTTACTTCTGATATAATGGCTACACATCATCTAAATCATTACGCAGTATCTTATTATTTATTTCAGTGGTGAAACTTATAGGTTGGCTCAGGGTGAGGTTTTAGATTATTGAATGTCGGTCATCCATCTTCTGTCAACTGTGGTCTGTCCACATTTAGCATCGTCGGATACCCACGGCCGAACCATTGACATTTATCAGTTATGTCATGTTAAATGTTAATCAACCATGTGAATCCGACGATGACATTACAGTTGTTAACAATCTGCTGGTCATTTAGTTTGTTAACACTCGACTGGTCACACTTTTGCCCCAATTTTCACACAACATCGTAAGAATGTGTGTGACAGGTTTTGCTCAAGTTTGAACATGGATCACCTTGGTTAAAAATCAGAAGTAGGTCACAGTAGCCAAAAAATAGAAAAAAGGTTTTAGCTCAATGGTTCATCTAAAGTTAAGAAGTTGGTAACACAGCCTGATTATGGAAAAACCCTTGTTAACTTGCTGTCCAATATAAATGAATTTCTTGGAAAGGTTGTATATGAAGACTATAATTATGTAACAATTATTGAATAATGTAAATATTATAGTACATTTGAATTGTTTTGATTACAGATTTCATTTTTATTAATAAATGATAAAGTAATGCATTTGAAAATTAATGTGTAGAGATGAATACAACACACCAGAATATATACATGTATTAATGCATCAAAGTACAGTACATAGATCTGTAACATGGAAAGCTATACAAAAGGATGTACTTTAATTTGGTAATTAAGTCTTGTAGGATTATTCAATTAATTGACTTTGTATAGAGTTCAAGCCAGATCATGTATTTTATTAGATAGCATCACTGGAAACTAAATATGACTGTTTCAATATTCTATACTGCAGTCCATTTAACGGGTGTTTCAAAAAATGATTTCTTTATTGCTCATCTATCAGTTTGCCTAGCAATACACAGATGGAACATCACATCTTCCTTGTCTCATAAATAACTTTGGAAGAAGAAAGCCTTGGTGTGAGTCACTTGTTAGGGACATTGACCTTGGTCAGAAGATGACCCCTATTGTTTTTGAGGTCAGTAGGTTAAAATCAACATGGCCTTGATGACAAAAATGGATTATATTATCAAGCAATGTATACTTCAGTACTTTCAGTGCTTTGATTATCTGCTGGTTTTATTTCCTTTGATAAAGGTGGTAGGGTTGTAACCTCATTACTATCTTTTCATGAGTAAATACAACTAGTTTTTATAACATAAGATACACTGCACAGGATTCATCATCTATTTATGGTGATCTTGTCTACTAATTTTGTTTAAATTTCCAACCATGTATGCAGAAGTAATTGTCTGGACATGAGCTACAGCTAAGCTTTATCACAAGTTTATGAAGTTTAACCTGGACCTTGCAAGACATTTCATGTTTACAAATTTACTTTGAAATTCCATCATGCATGAATACGTTAATGACCTGACATAAAGTCCAGCTGCACTTAGGGCTATATGCCATGATACACTAATACATACATATGTACAGACTAACACACATACTTACATTGTAATCACCACAAGACAACACCCCTCCCTGCCCTTCCCATTACATGATTGTGGCATAACATAACAATTGGGATAGAATAGCATACACTTGAGGGGATGTGACAGGACAAAGTGAATTCTACAAAGCAGACTAAGTTTTGTGGGATGTAACAATGATAAATTACCTTTTATAAAGCATTAAGGGGCAGTATTAGCAGGCATTATTACCTCACAATTCCTATGTGAAATAGGATTGTTGCCCTGGCAGTCAGTTTATTTGTGACCACCACGAGGTCATGAGCTTCTTCCAGGAGGTCATCAGCATCATCTATTGAACCTTTCTGCAAATGTAGACATCCAATCTGTTGTATAATTTTTCCTGAAATCATCATGTTTTATATATTTTACTAGGTAAACAATAAGGATATAGAAATACACAGATACAATACTATAAAGTATGGCAATTTATTGTAATAACCTATAGCTGTAATACTGTAAATATTTTTACTTCATTTCTTTTATAGTTTTGATCTTATCAAGAAATACATTATCAAGAAAAGATCACAAATAACATGAGAGGAATAAAAAATTCCCAGGAGTTTTTGTGTATATGAATATGTGTTTATGCCTGTACAGATCTTGTCATAACCATTTGTAGCAGAAATTCTACTTTTTAATTTTTTTTTGTTACGTGAAGCTGATAGATTTCATAATAAAATTACGCACAGTAAATTCTTGAACAGTCATTGAAAGAATACCTTTAAGACCCTGAAGTTCCATGAAAAAGTTTGAGGATTCTTCTGGTTCAACTATATCCATAACAGTGCGTAGAGCTTTCTTATACCATTTCTCTGCAAGTTCATGGTCATTCTGATCTAAATATAGCTGACCTAAACATTCCTGAACTTTTGAATGAACCAGCTGATCACTTTCAATGAGGGGATAACTCTGTAAGAAGGTAAAAAAGTTATCTTAAGTACAAGGTGGCCATCATGGCCCTGGATCGTTCACTTAAGCCACATAGCTAGAAAATGGTTTGTGCAAATTAATTAGGATGTTTTCCTATATAAATCTACATAAACTAATAGACCCCAAGGGCAGGGGCTAACTTTGACCCTAGGGGAATGATTTAAATATCTTTAGTACAGGAACATTAACTGATGCTACGTGCAAAATGTCTAAGCTTTTGGCTTATAGTTTTCAACAAGAGGCTTGAAATGTTTTTTTTTCTACTCTATTATAGTCTGTATGAATAATGTGACCCAAGTTAAGTGAGCAACTTTGACGCAAGGGGGAATAATTTATATACTTTTGTAGAGTTTCACTAGGTTAATCAACATATCTAAACTCTGGGCATTGTACTTTTAGAGAAGTTTTCAAGTTCTGGGCATTGAACTTATCTGAAGTTTTTTTAAAAACATTTTTACTATACAAGTCTATGTATGAATACTTTTAAAGTCCAATGGTCAATCCATTTTGACACATGGCATCACTTAAAAGAACAACAAACTTTGGGCATAGCAGTTTCATGAAATAAAATTTAAATGTATTTTCATACATAAGTCTCTAATTATGACAAAGTCACCCCAGGAGTGAGAACAATTTTCACCCCATGAGCATAATATATATATAACTTTTGCAGAGGACCACAAGGTGATTCTACATACCAAATATCTAAGCTCTGGGCAGTAGATTTTATATACCATTACATATAACTAGTGTTTGTTAATGTGATTGTATATTATCCCTCCATCACATATGTAGAGAACAGTTTGAGTGTTTTAAAATACAAAACTGGTAATGCTATAAAGTAATGCTATGTAGAATAACCCACAGTAGAAAACAATTCAACATGCAAAATACAGACATAATAACTTAAATTTCTATAGGCTGTAAATCTGTGGTATCAAGGTCTTCTACAGAAGAAAGGTTCCAATAAATTTATACAAATATTAAAATAATAATAAATTTATAAATATACAGTATCTAATTTCAGCTACATAATCACACTAAAGAAATTCTTTTAATCATTTTCGATCAATCTCACCTTCATAAGTGTTGTATTCAAGGCCTGCAGGATTGTCTCCCCTGTCTGCCTGTGTCCCATTTCTAGAATAAATTGACTGACATGCCACGTTAGTTTTATCACTTCAGCCGGGCTCAAGTCAAACTTCCTCTCCTCAGCTTCAGCTCCTAATGTAGACAATTGTTTCTTTTTATATCTATTCATATATAAAACATGAGCATGCAATGCCAATGCTTGTCTGTCAAGGGATACAGTATACTCAACTAATAAAAGACTTGACAGTCAGTAAAGAAAGATAAACTAGGAAAAACAAGAAACTCCACAATGTGAAACCAGGTTTTCCATGTTCATTTTTCACAGATGCTTCATCAAGTGTCCTGGTGCATAATTGTCAGCATTTTGCTATTAAAACAAATTTGAGAAAATTATGGCATTTTGATTTTTAACATGCACACAAATATACAGTTTATATACAGTTAAACTTCGTTCGCTCGAACTCGGATCCCTCGATTACCTCCCTTCGCTCAAACTTATCGCCCAGTCCCGGCAAAATTCCTATATAATATATATTGTTCTACATCGGATCGCTCGAACACCCATCGCTCGAACTCTCGAACCTGATCTCTGGTCCCTTCAGTAGAAATAAAGTGTACATCACACCTTTTCGGTCGAATACAAACAGACAACAAAAGTTGCGGGTCGCCATGTTCTAAATAATTGACAGTCGGCGACACATGTTTTTAACACCTTGTGATCGTGACAAAGGCAATTAAGGTTAATTGATACAAAATAAAAGGTGTTGTAACCGATTTGTTTGTTATGATACAATTGTTTATTTGCCGTCTTTAGTAACGATAAAAAGAAAATAGAGCTTGAAATGTGCAAAAGTCAATAAATAAATGACGTTTACCGGACGGTTTAATTACAACCGTTGTTCATGTAACGTGAATTGTAACAGTGTAATCTATTTATAGAATGATACTTGTACGTGTGTTTATTTTAGTAAATGACTACAAATAGATGCTGCTGTAAAATGTTGTTTTTTAATATTTTATCAATTCATTGTTTTAAATAAAATTCATCCCATATTAAACATATAAATATATTTTGAACATTGTTCACAGTTTGGATAATGATCGCCCGATCAAACTCAACCAATTACAATATGCATGCATATGGATTAACACAGTGTACTGTTAATGCTGTTTTCAATAGGAAAATAATTCTTAATATGACATATTCGAGAAATAGATGTACTAAGAAACAATTCTATTGACGTATTTATCTTTTGACCCATGTAAGCTGGAAAACCTTTAAGCCTATGTTCTATGTAATAAATTAGTTTAACCTCGGTTGGCTCGAACTACCAATCTCTCAAACAAATTTGTACAGGCCCTCTGAGTTCGAGCGAACAAAGTTCGACTGTATATTGTATCATTTGGGCAGCTCATGAAAAACCATATAGTGCAAAAAATTTCACTTTTTCACTTATTACAATTTTAGGAAAATACAATAATTCCCAGTTACTCTGGAATCTATTTCAACAAAGACTTTTGATGTCATCACGTTACACATAGAACATAATGTCAAATAAGGGACGAAATGTTGTAAAGGTCAAAAGTGCTACAAACACTGTAGAAGTTACTACAAATATCATAATTTGTCCGTCTACTGCATTCTACATAAGAAATAGAACACAATGCAAAGTGTCTACTCTTCAGTGAGTTTAACGTTTCTGACTGATCAGTAATTAAAATGGTATGAGATATGAAAAAATCAATTGTTCAAACATCAGTCTAGAGAAACATATATTATAGTCAGTTAGTATAATGCTCTTTCTGTAAAATCTACATCACAATTATAAACTGCTAAATTTGAGTGGTCCAATAAAAGTAACATAATAGTGCCTTCACTGGTGGTCAACGTGAAAATTGTATTATTCTAAGGTCAGCTGACACAAACATCAACAAAGAAGAAAAAGATTTGTGTTGATTATATGGGTGTCAATATTTATATATAAATAAAATTTTTCTTAGCATGACTTCTATCACTAAACATTTTAGTTACATGTACCTCAAAATACCTGTATGCATTTGTTGGAAAATAATGTTTTTGATTTAGTCGTCACTAACTGTACACTTATGAAGAGACGATGTAGTATAATATTGCATCAACTATGAAGTTTTGTTCTTCCACAAGTATTGTTTTTAAAATGAACTTATCATGTGTGGGTGGCATATGGATCTGTCAATCATTCATTAAATAATTGGTAATTATCCAATCAAGTGCTAAATTATGGGGTTGCATGGATAATTATAAGTCTCTTTAAAATATTTCTACATTTTAAATGATATTAAAATTATTTTTGCTGAAATTTTGATTAAAAAAATAGACTTTCAATGAATTAAAGACATTAAAGACAACAATTATCCAGCCATAACAAAACGCTCTTCAGAATATGAATTCATTTATATTTGTATAAATCTTATTGTATATAAGTTTTATTTCAGGAAACATTCTTTTAGTTTTTAGATTTGGTCAACTCAAAATTTAGTTTTGCTGTGTAAAATTTTGTATGAAATTGAAATAGTTATAAAAAATATTAAATAAATACATATATATGTATAGCTATTTCAATTTAAAAAAAAAAATAAATAAAGCCAAAGTTATGTAACTTGCCCTGTTCATGTTCTTTGTATTGATTAGTTAGTGTGTAAATTCCAAAGCCATAGATGGACAGTTCATTTACTATAAGCCGGGGGCATAAAAAAGGAAAATTCTAATTTCAAGAGGAGATTATTCTGAAAACATTGCTTCTAGTGTTATGAACCTAGTCACATAAGATGTGGTTGATGATAAGGCACATATATTTGAAGTCTGAAGTTGATACTGTGAGAAATAAAAAAGTTATGGTGATATATTTTATTGCACCAAAACTTTAATCTAAAATCTGAATGCGGACGCAGACGCCTATATGAATAAGACAGCTCTCCATATACTTTGTATACGTCATGCTAAAAACATATTTTTGTGTAAGGAACTGAATTAAAATTTCATTTTTGACCTTAACAGATCTTAAGATCATTTACAGATCAAGATCATACTTGATTTTATTTTAAATTCAGTCATTAGAGTTGCTTTTTCAATGTGAATCAAATCTGTCCATAAATTACTCAGTTATGTCAATTAGAGCTTCATTCAACAACATGACCATGACCACTTTAAGCTCAAACTTGAATAACTTAACATGTTGTTGTGAATTTTATTAAAAAAAATAACAAAGTTTACACAACTCAAGCAAAGTTCATTAATTTGACGGTCAAGTTCATTTTAGGTTAATGTCATATTTTAATTATTTAATATGTTGTTTTTAACATTGGTTTTATTTTGCCCATGTATGAACATTAATAAATAACAAAGTTATCTAAATTAACTCAAGCAAAGTTCAATAATTTGACTGATATGAGTGTTGTTTTGTCAAAGTTTAAGTCAAATTTTATAAAATAAGAAAATTATTAAAAGTTAAGCTAATTCTATTTTAATGTCAAGGTCATTTCATGTAAGGTCAAGGTCATATTATGTGTCATTTAATTTAAGATCGAATCAAATCTGTAAATTGGTTACAAAGGTATGACCAATTTAAGCAACTTTCAATTACTTCAAAACATGACAGTGGCACTTTTTATAGCTCTTTTTTTCTTTATGTCAAGATGATGAAATGATTTTTGTTAATGTGTACCTTGTGTAAGAAATATTGAATCTCCACCATTGGTAATGTCACCTATACTGCTTCGATCATCCTAAAAAATAAATTTTCAAACATGTTACAAAAGAGGGCCCATCTTTATTACCTGGTATATCACTAACCATACTATTAAGGCTCTGAATGACAAGGGACATCAAAATTGATAACTAGAATGAATGAAATGGAGATATAAGGTCAAAATCTTGGGCAACTGACATCAAAGTTCAAATCTGCATATGAAATAGTTCTTGTAGTTTAAATTTTATAGCTGTAGCTCTCAATGCAAATAATAGGTCACTGAGATATAACCTAAATCAACAATTAAAACAAGAGTTGTCTGTAAGTCTCAGTGCTTGACAGAAAGTGTTTTTCAAAAGTGAACAATATAGTTTCATCAAAATAAAGATGTGTCAGTGTCTGCCATTGGCTGTTATATAAAATTAACCTTATAATCCATGTTACTTTCATTCCTCTGTTAAAGGCCTCTAAATTTGTCATTTTTAGGTCACCTTGACAATATTCCATTACTATAATTGCTTTTATTACTTTGGCTGCACCTTGCCTTAAGAAATCAAATAAGAATGCATTTATTTTTTTCAACAACAAGAGAAGGCAGTGTAAGGAATAGCTGATTCATCACTAGTATAAAGAGGCTTTTAGTAACAGCTGTTTTTCCTATTGGGGTCAAGTATCTGCTGCCATTAAAAATGTTATTGAATTTTTTAATTTTCTGTTTGTAATTTAATTCAACCCTTTTTTATAGATCTATATCAAAGTGAATGCAAAGAAGTTTGAATTGTTATTGTCCCCAAAGAATTTTAAAATAAGTAAGTAATTAGTTCACATTTGGTGTGTCATTTTGTACATGAACTGCATGATTTATAAAATATTTGCTAGGACTACATGCCTAGTTCTTCACACAAGAAGACTTACCGGTATATATGTTTAACTATACAAGTCTTTATAAACTAAGTGACCTCATGGCAAGTCCACTTTTGATCCATTACGTATGATTTATATAACTTTTGTAGAGGACAAGAAGGTTAGGCTACATGCCAAATATCTATGCTCTGGACATTTAAGTTTTCAATTTTTAAGCCTTTTTTTAGCTTTTATGTCAGCTGTGACCTACTTATGAACCCATATAATATTGCGTGTACTGCCCATCACATATGTTACCTTGGAAATGCTTCGATTTTTTAAGTAGGAAAAAAAGAATTTAGATAGAGCGTTTTTAAAGATGGCATACATATTAAATTATATTCAAGCAGTGATATTGACACAAGTGACTGTAAATAAAGCAGTTATAACAAACATCTCTTTACTTCTGTGACAACCCTCGTATAACCCACGTAGTTAGTCAGAAAAGGACAAAAATACATAAGAATTTATAGAATAAAGTTATTAATGAACTGACTTTATTTACAAAACATTCATTTTTCTTTCATCATAATTAAATGTGAGAAAACTTTTATTCAAAAGCCATTGCTGTTCTATATTTGTTGTTATATTTAATTATGTTTTCTTATTAATCTAATTATCTGAAATAATGGTAAATATACTAATAACCTATCTTTAAATGGTGTTGTATTATTTTCATTGCCAATCTATTGGTCACCTGAAAATAATGCATGCAATATGTTCAGCTTGTACCATAATAATGATGTTTAAAGAATCGGTCAATATCAGTGGTACTTGACCATCATGTCATTTTATTTCCCAGATGTACATATATCTGCACATCACAGAATGTCCCTCTAATCCAATGCAAAGAATTCCAGTACAAACCTTTGACATTATATCACTCGCCTCCTCAATCACGGACAATTTGGTGTCAGAAGCTGGAGTTGTGAAAATGGAGGGAATGTTATGCGAGGCTGGGGAGAACAACATGATTGGAGGCTGATCAACCTCAGACTTCTCCACAAAGCTTGTCTCTGATATATTAGATACTGAACCACTCCCTTCCACACTCTCAACCTGAAGTAAAAACAACTAAAGCTATCACTAGAGACAGGTCATTCATACCCCAACCAACCTGCCACATACTAAATAAAGTTATATAATAATTTGAAATGCCCACCAATATCGACCACTTTTTTCTCCTATTTTTTTTTGGTAAGCATACAAAAAGTCCTTGGCAAAGGTTGACAAACTACAATCTTTACAAATCACACATGCATGAAACGACATATACATGTAATTGTTACATAACAGTTATATCATTACATACCTGTTGTTGAGAAACAGCATAGAATACGGCATGCATTAAGTTATCATGAATTACATTTCTTTTAGATAATGCTAAGCTAAAAAAATTTCACAAAGGTACTCAGGTCAGCTAAAAAACATGGACTGGACATGACTTTCAATGCACGATCATATCATAACTTTTGACATTCAAGTATGAACTTTACCTTTTGGGCTACTGATCTAAATTTTGTTCTTTACATATCTCTGGTCTTCAAATTTGTTGACTCCTGAATATAAATATATCTAGATAAAATGATATCAATTTGACAGTCATCTGGCTATTATTATAGGCTGAGTTTACTGTACGTCTGAAATGTCTTTGGGCATAGCAAAAAAAGTATCTCAAACTTGAAAGCAAACAAATGAATATGAAAATATATCAAAAGACAGCACATAATATTACCTCTATTTTCTCTGGTTCAGGCACAAGAGCACCAACACGAAGCAATAACTGATTATATGTGTCAACAGCACTGTATCCTTCTTTCTCCAGGTAGTACCAGTAAAGTCGGAGATCATAGTGATTAGATGGGTACCTATTCTCTGCATCATACAAGCTCTCAAACATCCTGTAATACATGTTTATATTGATTAATGTAAAGTTCTCATTCAACACATACCAAAACTCATATTTGAATGTGGATAAATCCCTAGGAATAAGGAAGAAGACATTTTTTCAGCCACAAGCATGCATTACCAACCTTCTATCAGCTTGCTGGTTACCTCCTTACAACATAACACTCAAAAGTAACTCAAAGGATTTAAATCTACAGTGTAAGGTATTTAATCTGGAGACAACCTTGGCCAGGGAGACACCAAAATATAAAACTACATGTAACTTTTGTTAAACAAGAGCTGCCTGAAGAGGAGCACACTTCACTTTTCTTTATACTTGATAGTATGATTGAAGACAAGATTGCATTTGTGAAAAAATGCTCTGCCACCTCATTAAAACAACACTTAATAGTAGGAACAGATGTAGATTTCTTATTGTTTTTATACAATTTAACTTTTCCATAATGCAGAAGTGTTTAGTGAGTGGGTGGGGGGGGGGGTAAGGTCATATTTTAGCATATCATGTCAAATGAAATTATGAAATGATCAGTTATAATCATGATCTTTGACATTTACTGCATTCAAAAACACTACAAAATTGTTTTATGTTTAAATGTACTAGACTGATGGCAAAGTGGTAACTTATGAAATGCATACTGTGGTTCTGCTAAGATTTCAGCTAAAAGTTTCATTTCCCCTGCCATCAACAGTTGCCATGGTAACTCTTCCACCCTCCTCTGACTGTGACCTTGACGATAAAAATACCTGACAAGGTACTGATGGAATTCTCTCTTCTGCTTTTTCCATTCCTTGTCATTCTCAGTGTGCGAAAATATCTCAGCAGTTGATGGCTTCACTATGCCTGAACAATAGTAAAATCATAAAAAAAAAAAATTGAGTCTGCAAGACTGAAATTGCAGCAAATTAAGAAATTTTTCAACCAAATTAATAGGAATTACATGTATTCTATGTAACAGAATCATCTTTATTGAAATAATATGCTTTCAAATCCTTTCTTTATTCAAAAGTGTGAAATAATAACCTTTAAGTAATCTTCAAAACATTGGATAAAATCATTGTCTTATCTGAATCAACATGCATAATCTATTTGTTTAATCAAGAGCCACTGCCAAGGGATGGTCATGTTCAACTCTTTCTTATTTCGTAGGGCAAACATATGTATCTTAGGAAGAACGTTGTAGTAAATGGATCTCTAAGAAAAAAAATATCACTTTCTTGTACAACAAGAGTCAGCAAGGTCATGCTCAATAGTATAGTAAAGTGTAAGTACTCCTACAAACTTTTTTTTGTAACAAGTAAAATTAATACTTCACATTTGACCTTAATGGTCAAGGTCGTTCAAAGGTCAAGACCACATTAGAAATACTCATCATGTCATTTATGCCATAAGTGCTCTTTTGTCCAAGAATGAATCAAGTCCATACATAAACAACAAAGTTATGACAATTTAAGCAAATTTAAGTAATTTGACCTTGATGGTCAAGGTCAAATAAAGATCAAAGCCATATCAGAATAATTCAACATCTTGATTTTGTCATATGTGTCCTTTTGTCCAAGTACGGAACAAATCTGTTAGTAAAGGTCAAGACCACATTAGAATACTCATCATGTCATTTATGCCATAAGTGCTCTTTTGTCCAAGAATGAATCAAGTCCATACATAAAAAACAAAATTAAAACAATTTTAGCAAATTTCAATAATTTGACCTTGACAGCCAAGGTCAATTAAAGGTCATAGTCATATCAGAATATTTCAACATTTCAGTTTTGTCATATATGTTTTTTTTGTTCAAGTATGAATCAAATAATAAAGTATCTGCACATAAATCCTTGTTTGGATATACTTTATTATAGCCAGAAGTAGTGACACTCATATTTTTATGAGTTAAAACAATGACTACCATGTTTATGTTTTTCTGAATTTGACTATTGTTACATTTACTGACCAACACAGAAAAAGTTTTAGAGCGTCAACTGCTATCAAGATGATAGCTGCAGGACTCATAAGATTATACATCTTCCTAAATTTTATCTGTAGACGATCCCTTAAAAAAACACCAGTAAAATATGCATGTTCCCCTCATCAGTATCTCAGAAATTGCAAGAAATGTATCTTGAATGTTCTAAATATGTTATTTTAAACTACATAATTCATAATACAAAGTTAGTTATTCACAGTTGAATAAATTGACCATAGTCAAGATCTAAGTAAATCATATATTCTGAATAATTCAACATGTTGGTTTTTTCTCAAGTGTTGTTTTGTCTAAGTATCACTTGTTGTTTTGTCTAAGTATCAAGTGTTGTTTTGTCTAAGTATCAAGTGTTGTTTTGTCTAAGTATCACTTGTTGTTTTGTCTAAGTATCAAGTGTTGTTTTGTCTAAGTATCAAGTGTTGTTTTGTCTAAGTATCAAGTGTTGTTTTGTCTAAGTATCACTTGTTGTTTTGTCTAAGTATCAAGTGTTGTTTTGTCTAAGTATCAAGTGTTGTTTTGTCTAAGTATCACTTGTTGTTTTGTCTAAGTATCAAGTGTTGTTTTGTCTAAGTATCAAGTGTTGTTTTGTCTAAGTATCAAGTGTTGTTTTGTCTAAGTATCACTTGTTGTTTTGTCTAAGTATCAAGTGTTGTTTTGTCTAAGTATCACTTGTTGTTTTGTCTAAGTATCAAGTGTTGTTTTGTCTAAGTATCAAGTGTTGTTTTGTCTAAGTATCACTTGTTGTTTTGTCTAAGTATCAAGTGTTGTCTTGGCTAAGTTTCACGCGTTGTCTTGTTCAAGTATAAATCAACTTTTGATTTGAAACTGTTGCTATTGAACTTGAGAACTTGTGACAGAATCTTGATGTAACACAACAATTTTTGTGACATAAATTACAAAAAACTTAGATGTCTGTTTGTTTAAGTTTACACACCAGTTCTGTTTAATAAACATTAGAAACTTTTAAAGAACATTTGTAATTCCTTCTTTCTTAATTTTTCAACAGAAGTTCAAACAAAAAGGTAGTCTGTTTAAGAATGCTCAGCGGACTAGCAGACAACGTTTAAAGTAATCATGGAGAGCAGTCAGAAAGGATAGTTGCTGTCTACAGAACCTAACTTGTCAATGTGAGCAGTCTGAAGGGATACCTGGGGTCTACAGCAGAACAGAGGATAGTCTCAGAGAGCAGACTAACAGACACAACACAGTTGCATTGTACAGAGGAGCTGATAGGTTGACCTGGGCACAGACACATAGAGCAGTTGGGAAGAGAATTGTACAGTGGAATTGACAAGCAGACATTTACAGTCATGTGGAGCAAATGAAATTAGAGCAGTGTATATCTGACAGTCATCTCAACAGCTCATACAGACACATCTTATCCTACCAGATCACAGTTAAAGCTCACCAAGCAAAACAGCGTAACAATATAACCCAAAAGGTAGGGCCAATTTTTTTCCTCAAGGTCATGGTTAATATAACTTTTGTAGAAGCCTAAAAATTGATGCTACATGCCAAATATACAAACTTTAGTTTTGTAGTTTCATTAAGGGTATAAATTTCCAACATACGTTTATTTAAGTAGTCTACATAAAATAAGTGACCCCAGGAGTGTGGCCAATATTTACCTTAGGACTATGATTTGTGTATATTTTATAGAGGTCCACTAATCAATGCTACATGCCAAATATCTAAATTGAGCATTGTTGTTTCACACACTTATATAAGACTTAAATATGTTTTCCTATATAAGTCTGCACTGACTAAGTGTGCCCTGGGACAGAATATTGACACAAGGAGCATGATTACAATTTTGTAATTATCCACAATTCAATAATACATCCCAAGCTATAGGAATTGTAGTTTTAAATGACTTAAAAAACTTAAAAGACTTAAGTGTGTTTTACTATATGTGTACAAACCTATATAAATCAAGTGACACCCTGGATGGGGCCAATATTGACAGGGCATAATTACCACTTATTTTCTAGATGTTCACAAGGCAATGATACTACTAAATATCTAAGCTTTGGGCATTGTAGTCTCATACAAAAAGACTAAGTTATATTATTGCCAAGAATTTTAATTTCCTTTGATAGTTTCAAGAGGCACAGGGCTGACATGAAATTTTGAAATTTATACATAATGACTAAGTGTGACCTTGACCTTAAGGAAGGTCAAACCTGCAGTCTGCAATGGTTTCATGGCTAACATTCTGCAAAAAAGTTTCAATTTCCTGCCATTGCTTAAAACATACAGTGCAGACAGGATATTGCTATAAGGGGGACAGGCGACCAGGTGCTGAAATTCTTCATATAAAAATACAATCAATATTATAGTGCTTATGGCAATAGGACATCAACATGACTATAGCATAACCCCGCTAAAACAACATTCTAACATTACCCTTATTAATATGATTTTTACTGAAAACAATGCTTACGTAGGAGAACATATTCAACAACCTCCCTCGTGTGTTGATGTGAGAAATTTAACATGCCATATGGACTTTGCGTAATATTTTCTCCCATGCAAAGCTGAAACATTAACCAGTCAAACTGGGTAACTTTCACATTCTCTTGGTAACCCATAGAAACAAGAGTATCCAAAATCTCATTTGCAGTCAATCCAGACCTTGACACTGCAAGCAGACGCAATACATCTGGCACCCAGCCAATAAAATCTGAAGAAAAATGTAACATCATAATTTTATTTTGTATTTATATCAATTAATTGTAAACAAAAAGTTTCTTGAAAACAAATTTCTTGGTTTAATGATTAATAACCTGTAAGCAAACAAAAAATATTTTTCTTTATTTCATATAATTCAGGCTGACAAGTGACCTTCTTTGAAAAAAGTAGGGACAAGTGGGACCAGTGCTTGAAAGCTTTCACAAATCGAAAGGATACTTATTTTCTAAATATAACAATGAAACTTTCTAAATTATGCCTATTTCCTCCAATTTATACAATTTACAACATTATATCATCTCTATAAAGTTACTAAAACCTTTACCTGCAGCATCACTTTCTGTTTGCTCAGCAGACAAAATTTCATATGTCCAACTGTGATCCTGAGACCACCGTTTGAAACAGCGTATAAGTAGGTCTCTTATAGATGTACACATTTCTCTGATCATGTCAGCATAAACATTCAAATCTGTATACACACTATATGAGCACATTTCATTTCCCATAATCTTCAAGAACAATGGTCGCCCAGATAATTTAGATTCAAATATTGTTTGTAACTGTGACCGTTTGAGGTGATCAAAGTGCACCTGCATATGATCCTCCAGCATCTCTGCTTTTACTTTTGTGGTATTCAAACTTGACAATGATACAACCTTTGTATCAGGCCTTTTTAACAAGTTGCCATGACTGAAGTCAGAGTTCAAGGTTGTTACTACAAAACGACACTGTGGTGGTAATGGCAGTGGGATCCAGGAAAATAACTTCACCTGAAAATCACATTTTTTAATAAATCAAAGTGTAAAAATATGTAAAACAATTTTTGAAAGTCAATATGGCCTTCAATTCCATCTTTTCAATTACAAGTGCCTAACCACAATTTCCTTTATATATAAATATCAGCATTCAAGAAAATTGCTACAAAAACTTTTAGATTTTGAACATTAAGACAAATAGCTTAAAAAATGTACATATACAAATTAATGTTCATATTTTGAAAAACATTATTTTAACTTTATAAAAATATTTCATTCACTGAATGATTCAATTTGTATGAAATTACAATCCACATTAGTATACTGAGCTGAGCAGTCAGGATTTGTTTTGCTAGACTAAGAGATAATCTCAGTAGAATATTTTTTGCAAGGTTAATGCTGTTTATGTTATCTAATTTTATATCTGATAACCTTTTATCTATTTACTTTTCTTGATCTATTTCATTTATACAAGGTATAAATTTTAATTCAGTTTTTATTACTTTGAAGTTTACATTGCATGTGATTTCCATGATGGTGAATATGCAGTTAAAGATTTGTATGTCAGGGTAATTATTAAGATGTTAAAAAAAAAAACAAGAGGGCCTACATGGCCCTTAATCGCTCACCTGAGTAGATGGTTTAAATGGACAAGACTGCACTATTAAGAACATTCGTAGAAACATCCTTTTTAGAAAGTTCAGTGTGCATGGGTTGGTATATTACAACAATAAATATGTTGAATTGATACATGTATCTTTCATATTATTTACTACCTAATGAACTTTAAAATAGTGACTAGAATTTAAAAAAAAATTTTTTAGTTCTGGCAGAAATCTTGGTCAGCAGACTTGAACCATTTGAGCAATTTTATAGAGGACCATCCAATGATCATTTCTTATAATTTCATCAAAATCTACCCAATAATTTTGCTCTGGCAACCATCATGTTCAGCAGACCAGAAACATATGAGCAATTTTTATAGACAAATATCCAAGGATCATTCCTGTAGAGTTACGTCTTAATTTACCAAATAATCAGCATGATTAAAAGATTTTTTCATATTTGGTCTGTGTGACCTAGTTTTTCACCCCATATGACCCATATTCGAAGTTGGGCTAGAAATCATCAAAACAAGCTTTCTGACCACTTTCCAGGATATTTGCACTGAAACAGTAGTCACTAGTGTTTAAAGATTTTGCTCCTGTGACCTAGTTTTTCATCCTAGATAAACCATGTTCATACTTGTTCAAGCAATTACTGGGACATTCATCCTGATCAAGTTTGGTGATGGTTAAGGCAAAAATGTTACCACTAGGGTGTTAATCAATTAAATTTGGACTGATGGGCGACGAACATTCAAAGCAAACATGTGAGCTAAAAGTATTGCAAAAACAAAATCAGGACAGGCAGGAAGTATAAAAGGATTCCTACATAGCCCTCACCCCCAAAACTATGTTTGATGGTGGTACTACAAATGCAAATATCATAACAACCTCTTGGGGGCTTAGTCCCATAGTAGCCCCTAGTTCATCTACTCCATCTATTAATATCACACATGGTCCTAGTGACAGAGCTGACTGAAAACTCCCACATAGCTCCTTAAATTGTTGCCTCGACACCTCTCCATCCGGATGGCAATCATCATCTGAAATGTTTTAGAAATCTTATAGTGTAGGGCACTTTCATATAGAATCAATCCTTTGAGAATATATCTACATGAAAAAAGATTGAATATCATGTCCCCTAATCTTACATTTTGAAAAACATTTGTACATTAATTACACAAATTCATTATTGAAGGTTCTTATTTCACATTTAGCCTTGTTAACCCGTCGTAACTTACTGAATTTCCTAAATGGACTTACAGATTTTTCTAGGGATATTATGACATAAATTTTAAAGTTTGACAAGCAACAGTGTTGATTTGCGGGGCCCCATGGTTAACACATCAGTCTAGAAATGTAAGGATTTATGGCCATCTAGAGTCAACCTCCATCAAGGGCATGGCTTTGTTTCCTTGAGCAAGAAACTTGGTCATTGCTTTGATACAGGAATAGATTCAAGAGTCTGTCTTCCTTCAGAATTGAACTTTATAAATTCTGTATAAACCAGCTGACTGCATGGAATTGTAGGTCTGTTCTATATTACATGTGGTGGCAGCAACAGAATCGTAAATGTTAAATACAGTAAGAGTAAACATTTTGTAGAGATTTTATAAGTGTTAAGATTTAACATATACTAACTAGTACCAAAATTAATCACTCATTTTTAAATATCACTTGACGATTCTTAAGGGGTAAGAAAAAATTCAATTTTGATTCATTTTAAACCTCAACAAAATCTATTTATGTAAAATTTAAACAATATGACAAGATCAAAATAACTATATTACCATCAGTTAAATATTCCTCTCTAAGCTCTAAAATAGCCCTTCTGAGGAATGTTGCAACATCTCTACTTCTCCCACTGCAACCTACAAAGTGACTTAAGACTTTCACCTCTGAGTGCTCAGCCATAAATTGTTTGACCCAGTTCGCAACTAGAGATGACTTGCCTATTCCACGATCACCTTTGAGCATGAAGATTGATTTATATTTCACACATATCTCCGGTCTGAAAATTATATGATTTATTTGATAAATTAAGAATAGCGCAAAAAAACACAGAATTGAGAATTCAACAAGAACTGTTGTTGCAAAGAGATAAATGACCCTAAAGCTGGGCCCTGTAGATGGACTATGACTTTTGACTTGCATCAAAGGCATGGTTACTATAAAAAGAGTGTTACAAGAATATAGAAACATAAACAAATATTTTCTTATATTTTCAGTGAGCTGGATTATTTAAAAAAGCATTCATGTACAAATGACAAAGAGATATGACCAGCATAATCAATGTACTACTTTGACATTCGGATACAACCTTCACTTTTTAAACTCATGACTTGGCATTTGCGTGCGACAGAAGTTTTATTAAAATTATTTCAAAATCCATTCACAAATGACAAAATTGAGGACTGGATATAACCATTCATGTACTTTTATGAAACTATGAACCTTAGATGTCCTAGCGAGACCTTGATCTCTAAGCTACAAACTTATAAAGAACCATATATCTAAGCCAAGTTATAACAAAATCTGTCACTGAATGACAAAAAGACATGGACATGACTATCAATGCACTATCATTTATTTCTTGAATTGATGGTTGTGTCCAGTCAACAATTCTATGGACTTTGAAAATATTTTAGGTAGAATGTAAACTTTAATAAAAGAGGTTACACAAACACTTGGGGACTAGGATATAGCTCTCCTTATTCTTCGAATAGTCAAGTTAATAAGCATTCCAATTATTCATTACATAAATTGTTTAATTTCGTAACTTACTGTTTCCGCAGAAAATTTGAAACTGTATATGGTTTGTAGTTTTGATCTAAATTTTCATCATGATCATACGCAGGTTCATCAAGTACAGTACTGCAGAAGTTTGTCAACTCTGTTTTCAGGGTACGTAACTCTGAGTGATTCAAGTAAATATGTCGTCTGCTCTCAGAGAAAACTTCATGATTCATCCATTCTCTATATTCTTCACTATCTGTTCATGATATTTTGATATGTAGGGTTAAAATAAGTTACAATCTACATGGGAACACACTATATATAGGATTGGACACAAGCTGTCATTTCATATAAACAGTTATGAAACAATTTAAGGACTATGATTTAAATGAGTCACTCCCAAAGATAAATTTCTAAATGAGTCTCTCCTGTGATAAATTTCTAAATGAGTCTCTCCTGTTATAAATTTCTAAATGAGTCTCTCCAGAAATAAATTTTTAAATGAGTCTCTGTGATAAATTTCTAAATGAGTCTCTCCTGTGATAAATTTTTAAATGAGTCTCTCCTGTGATAAATTTCTAAATGAGTCTCTCCTGTGATAAATTTCTAAATGAGTCTCTCCTGTGATAAATTTTTAAATGAGTCTCTCCAGAAATAAATTTTTAAATGAGTCTCTCCAGAAATAAATTTTTAAATGAGTCTCTCCAGAAATAAATTTTTTAATGAGTCTCTCCAGAAATAAATTTTTAAATGAGTCTCTCCAGAGATAAATTTTTAAATGAGTCACTCCCAAAGATAAATTTCTAAATGAGTCTCTCCTGTGATAAATTTCTAAATGAGTCTCTCCTGTTATAAATTTCTAAATGAGTCTCTCCAGAAATAAATTTTTAACTGAGTCTCTGTGATAAATTTCTAAATGAGTCTCTCCTGTGATAAATTTTTAAATGAGTCTCTCCTGTGATAAATTTCTAAATGAGTCTCTCCTGTGATAAATTTCTAAACGAGTCTCTCCTGTGATAAATTACTAAATGAGTCTCTCCTGTGATAAATTTCTAAATGAGTCTCTCCAGAAATAAATTTTTAAATGAGTCTCTCCAGAAATAAATTTTTAAATGAGTCTCTCCAGAAATAAATTTTTTAATGAGTCTCTCCAGAAATAAATTTTTAAATGAGTCTCTCCAGAGATAAATGAGTCTCTCCAGAGATAAATTTTTAAATGAGTCTCTCCAGAAATAAATTTTTAAATGAGTCTCTCCAGAAATAAATTTTTAAATGAGTCTCTGACCTGTGATAAATTTTTAAATGAGTCTCTCCAGAAATAAACTTTTAAATGAGTCTCTCCAGAGATAAATTTTTAAATGAGTCTCTCCAGAGATAAATTTTTAAATGAGTCTCTCCAGAAATAAATTTTTAAATGAGTCTCTCCAGAAATAAATTTTTAAATGAGTCTCTCCAGAAATAAATTTCTAAATGAGTCTCTCCTGTGATAAATTTCTAAATGAGTCTCTCCTGTGATAAATTTCTAAATGAGTCTCTCCTGTGATAAATTTCTAAATGAGTCTCTCCTGTGATAAATTTCTAAATGAGTCTCTCCCAAAGATAAATTTCTAAATGAGTCTCTCCTGTGATAAATTTCTAAATGAGTCTCTCCAGAAATAAATTTTTAAATGAGTCTCTCCAGAAATAATTTTTTTAATGAGTCTCTCCAGAAATAAATTCTTAAATGAGTCTCTCCAGAGATAAATGAGTCTCTCCAGAGATAAATTTTTAAATGAGTCTCTCCAGAAATAAATTTTTAAATGAGTCTCTGACCTGTGATAAATTTTTAAATGAGTCTCTGACCTGTGATAAATTTTTAAATGAGTCTCTCCAGAGATAAATTTTTAAATGAGTCTCTCCAGAGATAAATTTTTAAATGAGTCTCTCCAGAAATAAATTTTTAAATGAGTCTCTCCAGAAATAAATTTCTAAATGAGTCTCTCCTGTGATAAATTTCTAAATGAGTCTCTCCTGTGATAAATTTCTAAATGAGTCTCTCCTGTGATAAATTTCTAAATGAGTCTCTCCTGCGATAAATTTCTAAATGAGTCTCTCCTGTGATAAATTTCTAAATGAGTCTCTCCAGAAATAAATTTTTAAATGAGTCTCTCCAGAAATAAATTTTTTAATGAGTCTCTCCAGAAATAAATTTTTAAATGAGTCTCTCCAGAAATAAATTTTTAAATGAGTCTCTCCAGAAATAAATTTTTAAATGAGTCTCTCCAGAGATAAATTTTTAAATGAGTCTCTCCAGAGATAAATTTTTAAATGAGTCTCTCCAGAAATAAATTTTTAAATGAGTCTCTCCAGAAATAAATTTTTAAATGAGTCTCTCCAGAAATAAATTTCTAAATGAGTCTCTCCTGTGATAAATTTCTAAATGAGTCTCTCCTGTGATAAATTTTTAAATGAGTCTCTCCAGAAATAAATTTCTAAATGAGTCTCTGACCTGTGATAAATTTCTAAATGAGTCTCTCCTGTGATAAATTTCTAAATGAGTATCTCCAGAAATAAATTTTTAAATGAGTCTCTCAAGAGATAAATTTTTAAATGAGTCTCTCCAGAAATAAATTTCTAAATGAGTCTCTCCTGTGATAAATTTCTAAATGAGTCTCTCCTGTGATAAATTTTTAAATGAGTCTCTCCAGAAATAAATTTTCTAAATGAGTATCTCCCTGAGATCAATTTCTAAATGAGTCTCTCCCGAGATTAATTTTTAAATGAGTCTCTCCCCGAGATCAATTTCTAAATGAGTCTCTCTCGAGATCAATTTTTAAATGAGTCTCTCCCCGAGATCAATTTCTAAATGAGTCTCTCCCGAGAGAAATTTTAAAATGAGTCTCTCCCAAGATAAATTTTTAAATAAGTCTCTCCCGAGATAAATTTCTAAATGAGTCTCTCCCGAGATCAATTTTTAAATGAGTCTCTCCCCGAGATCAATTTCTAAATGAGTCTCTCCCAAGATCAATTTTTAAGAACATGTTTCTTTTCTGCTTAAATGAATAACTAATAAATTACAGAAAGGTTTGTGGGTAACAGTAAAAATATCATTCCAAGGAAAATACTCACTGTTATCCGAGGTGTTAGCCAAGGGTAACAGTATTTTTCAGAGAGATGATACTTTGAGTGTTACTCACAAACCTATTTGTTATTTATTTTATTACACCAAACAAATACTGTAATGATCTGCATTTTTTTCAACCATATTTAACATTAACAAGATTGAAACAAGAGTTACAAAAACCCAACTGTTCACTTTGTAAGTTGTAATTGTACTCAAGAAATTATTTTTCTTTTATTCTTCAAGTAAAAGATGATATAAAACATACATTAAGCTGTGTTTCATTTAGAATCAAAGCACAAACTCATTTATACAGTTATGATCTGTGAAATATGATCCTATCCAGAATATTCTTCATCTATACTCTCATGGACATGATTTTTGACAAATGTGCATTCATGATCTCCTACATGTGAACAGTGTTTTAGATCTGTCTACCAAATGTTACAACCATTAAATTTGTTAAATGAAAATTTGTTACATTCTTTAATCATCTGAGTGATCCATCCATTTTGACACATAGTAAACTTTACAAATTAGATTGCATTGGTGAAACAAGAACACCGTAAAGGCCTGGCAATATAAACCGAAATGTAAATTTGTTTAAGTAATCAAAAATAATCTTTCAATAAGGGTAGGGACTCGATATAAAAACTTGTTTGAAAACTGTTTTATCTTAATTATCCTTATCATACTATAATCATGACCTCCAAGAGCACAATATTTTCTTACCATTAATGCATAATTTAGAGGTCTACAAGGCAAAGCTATATGTCAAATATAGAGGTAAAGTCAAAGTAGTTATCAACTTAAAGATAAGATGTATTTGCCTATTATACCTTAGTCTATATAAAGCAAGTGACTCCAGGGTCAGGGCCAATTTTGATCTGAGGGTCATAAATACAACTTTTGTAGAAATCTACATATTGTTGCTACATGCCAAATATTAAGCTCTGGGCTTTGTAGTTTTACATATTAAGACTTAAATGTGTTTTCATATACATTTTGTATTAGTCTATTTAAATCAAGTAATGGGCAACCAAAATTGAACTTAATCTGTGTTTTGATATAACAAAGTTACATGGAATCATTAATATCCTTCAATAGTTATCATGTGGAAGTCAATTGTCTATGGACAGACAGACATACAACAGATATTGCATAAGGGGTTATTTCTTTTGTTATTTTCTTTTCTTTAATAGAGGGCCTTTGGCTCCTCAATCTATATTTTATATACAGAATGAACTTAATTGTTCTCTTGTTCTGTTTACAATTAGATGGCCCCCCTATTAATTTCCAGTAGAGCAAGTAGATGGACAGTCAGATAGTCAGATGGACAGATGTCATACCATTATACTATGAACATGCATATCAATTTTATACACACCTAACATTCCAAGGCCACCAAGTAACGGTGGGTACATTTCATCAATGATGTCTTTCCAATCTTTTAGTACATGTGAACCAAGCTCTTGGCACGTCTGAAAATATTTCACTGGAAGTCCTTTGTTGACTATACGCTGCTTCAAATCTCGTATATTCAAGTCTGCATATTCACTCTCAGGTTTATGCAATGCAATTATTTTCTCCCTTTCATGTCCTGATATGTCTATCACAAAAAACAACAACAAAAAACATAAATTTGAGTAACTCATCTGCAATCTTTAAAAGTAACATGTGCTGGTTATCTACTATTTCTTATAATAGATTTATGTAGATACTTTAAAGAATCTCCACTTAAGGTCAATAAGAAACAATCAATTATCAAAGTATTGCAAGCAATATAAAAGTCCACTTAGTTAGAACCCCAGAAACATTCTGAAGGGCCATTGTAAAATTATTCTATATCGACCATGTAAAAACACAACATATGAAAAGCAAAGAAAGAAATGTCAAATATGCTTTATCCTTCTATACTTCTAATTTAATTATTGAATTATTAACACCTCCGATGACATTACTAGTTTCTTGCCCAATCTTCTCACAGTGTTTATGTAATGCTGATAAAAGGAATAAGGCTTATTGCTACAGACATTAATATTCTCAATAGACAAAAGATTTTTACTCATAATGAGTATTTCAATATTAAACTAAAAAGTACCTAAACTTGTCTTTGTTTTGTATTTCTATGAAACGGCATTTAAGAAACTAAATTTGTTCTGGTTTATCTAATGACATCATATTAAAGTGATTTTTGTATGCATGGATAGAATAGTAGTTGGAAACGAGGCTCTGGAAACACATAAGTCATAAGGAAGGCAGTATCGCCTCAAAAAACATAACACTTATGATGATGTTTGTAAAATAGTTTAAAAAACCTGCATGAAGCTTATATTTTTTCCCACATATGGTTATATTCTAATACAATTTTGCAGCCTCTATTTCTCTACTATAACAGAAGAATGTATTATTGTTGGTATCAGTATATAAATTAAGGTTTTTCTTTCCATTATGATAAAGGTTCTGTACTACCTTGTAATTTATGGTCTAAATGTTCTGGTTGTCTGTAGTAAAACTGGCAGTATCTGTTGTCACTCAGGAAAGCCGCTTGAATTATCTCAAGTTCAGGTATACTACAGTTCTGATGTACCTATTCAATGAAAACAAATACATGTATAAATGTCATGGCAAAAACAAGAAAATATGCTCTGCCACCACAATGTTTTGAACAAATAGGTCCATGTATACGATATTATATAAGGCAAATAATATCTAACAGGTACTATAATATAGACAATCTAACATTGTTTTTGCTTTACTGGTTGCAAATGTTTATGAATGTGCACTTTTTCTAAAAATATTATTCAAATGCGGTAAAATGGTTTGTAAAGCTCAAAAACTGAACTAAAATATCGCAGACTGATAAAAATTGGGACACCTTGTTTAGCATCCCTTTAATAACATTTTTGTAACATATTTCTCTTATTTCCAAACAGCAACTACATTTCACAAACATATATGTCTAGGACTAGTTCTGGTCTGATGCATTATACAAATATTCCTAGAAAAATCCATATCCTGTAAATCCGGTATTTTTCGCGATGTTTTAATTTTCGCTATTATTCGCGAATCGGCTGCGTCGCGAATTCATGATGCCGCGTAAATTTTATAACATAACATAAATTGTAAAAAAATAAATCAGATGACATTTTTTTTAATTGTGTTTAAGTTTTATAATGAATACAATAACTGAATACAAAATAACTAATATGCACAATGTTTAATTTACATCATAATAAAGATATGAAGGTTAAAGATTTTTCCCATTCCTTTTTCCTCATGAATTCATCATATCAAACACAAAAAGCTAACATTATTTTCCGACAATATCCACAAACTTTGCACTTACTTTACAGACAAATGTGAACACATATTTTTAGATGACAATAGATTTACGTAAAACAGTGATCAACGGACAATTATCATACGGTAGATTAAGTATTATAAATAATATAGTACATCTTCTTACAAACATTTAACACTTTATTTGCAAACAAAAACCAAATGTGACAAATGATTAAAAAAAAATGTTCATAATAAGTCAATGTATATAGGTACATTTTGTATTTAAAATAAAAAATATATAAATACTGTCTCTTATTAACACCATTAACATTAACCTTGAATTAGAGCGGCACAGTATAGAAATTAACTTCAACCTACCCTGATATATTACGGAAATTAAATTTAAACAATCGCGAATATAAATTTCTAACCCTGCCATCGCGAATTCATGAATACGCGAAATAATCCGTGGATTGGGTTTTCGCGATATAAAGATCACGCGAATATAAAGTGATTTACAGTAGTTGTTGATAATAACTCTGAAGACTGAATAACACACCGTATTACCGGCGGCAGTGATGGCAGATCACTGCAGTGATGGCAGATATCTGAAAATTACCGATCGATACAGGTAGGTTATAAATTTGGTTGGTTTAATTATATTACACAAATACGGCCCATTTCATTGCTATAAAACTATTGTCCATTGAATGGAGATACTGTAAGGTAATTTTGGACTCGTTTTTTCCTGTTTTCAGACTATTTTGAGCAGGTTAAAAGTGAAAGCCTTAGAAAAATCCGTGAAAATGTCTGTTTTCTGTTCAAAATATCTCAAGTTTTAAGTAAATGGCAGGATTTCCTGTTATCAATATAGACGTTCATCCATTGGCACGTAATCAAACTTGGCACAAATGTTGACTGGACCATTGCCTTTGTAACAACATGTTCAGTCTGAAATTTCCTGTTACCATAGCAACTAGGGGACATCTCAAAATTGCCAAAAATCACTATTTTGCGTTGATTTTTTCCATCAAAATTGATTTCAAAGTGCTGCCACTTCTCAATGGATTGAGATAGAGTCAAAGGCTTTTCAGCATTGGTTACACGTTACCTTATGATCGACCTGGGGCCATTTTTAGCCTCCCACAAGTCCAAAGTTTTCTTGGCGATGAGGGGGACTCAGCCCCCCTTCAAACCCCCCAAACAGAAGGGGGCACATCCCCCTTCTGGCAACCCCCTGATGTATCTTTTGGATGGGGGTGGGGGGGGGCCGCGCCGAAAAAGTGGTCAATTTTTTAAACAAAACAACAACAAGTGTTTGGGGGCCTAAATAAGGCATTTTTTCACCATTTGAGAAAGCAAAAAAGGAGGGGGGGGGGGTGAAAAAGGCGTAGAAAGGCGTATATATCTGGTAATGGGTTAACAGAAAATGATGAAAAAAAACGAAATTACCCAAAAACGTGTTTTCCATGTTAAAACATGGCCTCACATATAATTTTGAAGAAAAATTGCTGTTTTGTAGATTTTTTTATTTTTTTCATTAATGCGGTATGTTCATCGAAAAAAAAGCTTATTAGCAACATGCAGTTACAATACAAAAAGTTATGATTTAGTACCACAAAATTTCACTATAAATAGAGAAATGAACATGAAAAACTTCATTTTTCTATATTCATGCATGTGTGCTTGATCTGTTGTGTCTGTCAGTTACATGCATACAATACTATATATATATGTATCTTAAGTTTAGCAGCGCACTCCCTTTTTAAGACATAACGCCAATTGCATATTACAGCAAGTAACTTCTGTAAGTGGATATTCATTTGCTAGCATATGACATTATTTTCTCGAGGTAATAATGTTCATCGCTTTATGACAAATAAAGGCTGAAATTTACTTAATCGGCGCAGATTATAAATTATTAAATTGATGTAATAAAGGGGAGACTATTAACCTCGCAACTGGCATCAGTGTATCATAAAACAATGTATGTTAATGTAAAATGGAAAGATAATATTATTGACATTTCAAATATTTACCTATATTATCAAGTTCTTGAAAAACACGACAACGTGGATTCATTTCTTTAAATTTTCATGTTTGTAATAGCGTTGTAGTTTGCCTTTGAATTACATTTACTATGCTAAACTATTAACAACAGTTCTAACATCACGTGCTCCCATTTAACTATATATTTTTTCATTCATTTTAGTTGTAACCATGACAACTTATAAAGATGAACCTTTCGATGATTCATATCACAAGATGAAAATAAATCCTGTATTCATAGGAAAAAAACTAGAATTTTTTGATTTGTTATATTCTTTTTCTCTTTTTTGACCTTTCAATTCATATAAACAGATCAAGCACACATGCATGAATATAGAAAAATGAAGTTTTTCATGTTCATTTCTCTATTTATAGTGAAATTTTGTCGTACTAAATCATCACTTTTTGTATTGTAACTGCATGTTGCTAAAAAGCTTTTTTCGATGCACACACCGCATTAATAACTTTTCTATCTTGAGATAATATTAGAAAAGATAGTTTAACGTCTCAATTCCGACTAAAAGGACGCAAAGAAAAGAGGAATTGATAAAAGATTGAACTTGATTTTCTGTCAGAATGTTAGCCACTTTCGTGGTATTTCTGCCATCGACGGCAGCATTTATAATATGTATCTGCCTACAACGGCAGCATTTTTTCTTCGACCGGACAAGATTGAGCGTCTGTAAAACTTTCAAGAAAAGACTCACGGGGTAGATATTTGGCTTGCGTGACCCCAATGGATGAACGTCTATATTGATAACAGGAAATCCTGCCATTTACTTAAAACTTGAGATATTTTGAACAGAAAACAGACATTTTCACGGATTTTTTCCAAGGCTTTCACTTTTAACCTGCTCAAAATAGTCTTAAAACAGGAAAAAAACGAGTCCAAAATTACCTTACAGTATCTCCATTCAATGGACAATAGTTTTATAGCAATGATATGGGCCGTATTTGTGTAATATAATTAAACCAACCAAATTTATAACCTACCTGTACCGATCGGTAATTTTCAGATATCTGCCATCACTGCAGTGATCTGCCATCACTGCCGCCGGTAATACGGTGTGAATAAGTGGTCGCCATTAGTCATAGACAAGACATTTTTCTCCCTAAAAGCACCAGGCTACATGAATTAGGTCTAATGCCACAATACTAAAAACTTGTATAGTATTATAAAAATTATGGTTTGTCTCACCTCTTTCAATATCCATGTGTATCCAGCACTTGCAGCAACTAAAAAATTTTTATCTATCCACGAAGCTTCTTCTGGTAAGCTATTTAAATTTTCTGGCAATTTTCCACCTTCTGGCACTCTATGAGGTCCATATGATTCTCCAAGTAAACATATAAAGTAAGGGCTGCACCTCGTAATAAAGTCGAGGTTTATACGTAGCAGGTGACCACTGTCTGTTTGAAGACTGTCTGGTAACCATTTTATATCTACTGGAGAAAAGGCAGTTCCACGTTGATGACACAGCTCTTCAAGCTGTGGGAACACTTCCTGTGCCAGATACTTCCTTTCATCATCAAAATCACATGGTGTTGAGCAGACATATGGTGTGACTGGTTTACGGATTGTAAATTTCTCCTTGGATGGTTCCAGCATGTAACCATCATCATCATCATCACTGTCAAACCTCAACTGGACCATTCTGCCTGGTTCCAACTTTCAGAGCTAATCCTCCAGCTATTGCTAGTAGTTGGAGCAGCTTAAAGCATTATGAAATAGCTCTGTGATAGTAAAAATAAAATAAAAACAGTTAAATATCATTCAAAAGTATAATTCAAAAGTATAATCATGAAAATATTTTAATTTTTAGATCTACAAGTTCTTTTTTCTTCCATAGCCTTTTCTTTAACAGATGTTTTATTAGATTAATTATAGATAAATGCTAGTTCTGTTATGATACACTTGTGTATGTAATGTGATTCACATTCATTTTTGTCATGTAAAAATTCTAATATTTATGAACAAGAAACATGGCAATACCACAAAACCAAGTTTTCAATTATCATTGCAGAAAGTTTTGTTTTAGTTGGAACTAGAAATGTGTCCATAGAACATGGGTGCCCCCAAACTCCACTTTTTTGTCAATCTACTGACTCTAAGTCAAATTTATTTAAGCTCCACGTGACACAAGTTGAAAACTAAAATTTTTTACTTCATCAATGACAAAAGCTCTACTAATACTGAATAAATCCACAAGCAAATCCCAAGGTGCATAACTACACATGCTGACCAACACTCTTGTATACTTTCAGGACTACAAGGTCAAATACTTTTTGAGCTATTCATGAACAAGTCTGTAATTTATACATGTACTAAGTCAAGGGCAATAACTCTAACAAAACTGAAAAAAAATCCACTTTGCAAAACCCCAGGTGCACAGCTTCACAGTGATGTTGATCCTCATTCCTGTAATGTTGGTTGATTCTAACTCAAGCACTCAATGTACACACAACATTTTTGGAAGGGCAATTACTCTACAAATACTGAACAAATCCACAACCAAAAGCCCTGGTGCACAACTACACATGCTGACCAACATTCCTTTACAGTTTCATGACTCTAGGTCAAATACTTTTTGAGATATACATGCTCAAGTTGAAAATTGCAAATTTTTACTAATTCAAGGGCAATAACTCTAGAAATACTAAATAAATACACCATAAACACCCATGTGCACAACATTCCTGTAATGTTTCAAAGGCAATAACTCTACAAATACTGAAATTAATCTACAAATCCCCAAACACCAAGGTGCACAACTGCACATGCTGATACACATTCCTGTAAAGTTTTTATGACTCTTATTATAGATGTTGAAATATGAATTTGTTTCAGAACGTGTTAAATAAAGTGTTTTTTTATATGCTGGGATCCTTCATATTACCAGACAAAATAAAATTATGATGTTTTTTCATTATAACTTTTATTTAAAACCATAAAAAAATGGAATTTTACTGAATTGATTTTGGGTTTTTAATACACTTAAACCTTACCCTAACAAACATATTTTTTTTAACATTTTGACCATAAAAAATGTGTCTAATAAGTGGGGCATTTTAAGAAAAAAAAATTGTATAGACAACTCAATTTACCGGACATTGTGTTTCACAATATTTTGAAGTTGTGAATTGAAATTAATCTTTAAATAATTAGCAAGGGAACTACGACTGTTGAAAGGCAAGGTTAATATATTGGAAAAACCCAAGATGTCACTAAAGATAGACACTGTCAGGGCTTTTTTCCTTCTATAACAGGGGCCGATATAAGGCCCCTTCACAATTCAAAATTGCACTTTTTTTCACAAATGGCAGAAAAAAATTCACAATTTCAAAAAAATGTTGCAAAATGCCAAGTAATATGTTATTTTTTTTCCACAAATTTATGACTTATCAAGCTTTTTTCACAAAATGAACAGGCCCAGACCCCTTGACAATTTTGACAAAAAATGCCCTGACTGTACAAAAAGGCCTATATATGGGGTGTAATGGAAATTGACATTAATTAACTCAATTATCATATTGATTCTTCATAAATCATTAACATTAATTTTGATATTCACTTGTAATTCTGTTCTTTGTCATACAGTTACATTTTGGTCATCATGAAGCCAGTATATTTCAGACAATATATTTTGGTTAAATTTCATGTAGAGTTTCCTCCCTTGGTTTTAAAAATCGAGCATGACCCGTTTCCATATAAGGTTTTTAATTTGCATTTCCTTATAAAATACAACGAAATACTCTTTGGATTAAATTTAAATAAACTTTTTATCATAAAAATATGTTATGATTGTCTTTTGATATTCCATATTATTGCATGAAAACTAAAATTTCTGTTGTCAACAACGCAAATATGTCTCAGCAATTTGAGCTATTTTCATATGTATGTATTTTAAGGCTCAAACTGCACTCTTTTAGATATGTTTTGGGGTTCTGAAATTTTGTTTTGCTGTAAAATCATTAAAAGAATGCATAAATATATAATTAACGTAATTATTTAAACAGATAACTGCACTATTTCAAAAATAAATCTTATTTTCGTACCCCCGATCTAACTTTCGCGAAAATAGCTTATTTTCGGTATCCATCTAAACCGAGTACAAAACTGCAGGTGAAAAACATGTTTTTTTGTTCCAACAACAAAGTTAGTGAAAGAAATTAAAATATATTTTTGTTTATATTGAGGCATAAGCATGTCAATAGACGCCCAAACAAAATTTATACTATGTTAACTCCTACGATGATTATCTGGCACAAACTTTATCAATAATTTCACAGGTTGATCTACAGGAGTTACCTCCCATCTGTACTTCCTGCTACTTTGGTTTTTAACATGCGTTGTTGACAACAGAATTTTTAGTTTTCATGCAATAATATGGAAATATATTGTATTTTTATGTTCAAAACATCCTCTTTCTAAATATCAAATACGCACGCTATCTGGAGCTCTGACAAGTAAGTTATATTGCCAGGGATAAGTTTTTCGTATCGAGCATATGAAGGTAAAATCGTATCTTTCGGGTACTAAATATTCTAGCCCTATTTTACCTTAAAGTATCCTAAAATAGCCTTACCCGCTCTATTACGTGTATATGATAAGTACATGTGGTGGGATTGACAAAAATGCCTTTTATTTAGATTTTAAAGACATTTTGAGCTCCACTCCCCAAGACTAGTGTCTGTGGGGTTGGCAGTATTCAATATTTTATGATTGACCTTTTCGAAAACCTAGCTAAACACAGTTTTCCAGTATGTTACGGATTGAGCTCTGGGGAATTAAACCAAATGAAGTACATAACACACTTACATGATATTTCTATTTTTCCATCATTATTTTACCGTTTAAGGTGAAAAAATTTGATGTTTTTGAAAATTATCAATATTCCTTTAATATTTATTGCAAATTTTTCAAAAAAATAAATTGTTTATAATGAAAATCAATAAAAAATTTAAACAAACGTAGTGGAATCTTCCATAATAGATAAGGTTATTTTCTGCGTAAACTTGTGTATTTACTTTATTTTTTGTTTTGGAATTATTCATATGATATTTTATTACTTTCTTATAAAAAAATAACTGTTTTATTTCAATTTAATTTAAAAACAGGCCGAAAACATTGAGTTCGATATTACACACCATTAGGTGAATTCCTCAGCGGCGGCACGAAATACCCAAATATACCCAATATACTGCCGAGGACGTGATTTTGCGCCATTGGCGCTAAAAAAATGAGAATGGCGCAGGAAAATCGGCAGCAAAGGGCCAGGGGCGCATCTAAAATCTGTGCCAGACTTATAACAAAACAAAACTGTCTGCTGGGTTATTTAGTCATCCAGACAAAACTGGTACCAACAGCAACATGTTACCCATGCTCCTGTAATTACGCATATTCTTGAGTTTATCCGTTCCCCTATAGCTTTTGTCCATGTTATCTACTTACCGCATTTCTTCTCATAATCCCTTTCCCACACAGATACTCATTTCTACTACCGTAAATTTATTCCAATAAAACAAACAAACAAATTAATTTAAAATGTTTTTCGGTAACTGAAAAAAAGTGTTGCTATTTTAAGAAATGCGGTACGTTACAGTATAATCTGACAGGTGTTCAACTTGATCAACCCTAAGGTCACTCAAGTTCACGCAAGTTTTGGCTGATGAAGTGTAAAAAAAGATGTATATTTCGTCATCAGAATATTTGACAGGGTGATTAACCAATCAGAGAAACATTGTGCATGACTTTTTTCATGATCAAAAGGTCTGTCGGTAAATGTCTTTGATGTATGCTGTCTACACAGAGGCATACAAGGGGCAATAAAATTCGTCAATACACAGTGGTAAGGGACATTTGGTGCAAAGTAGGAACAATTCAATGGATAATGCGCAATATAAGACATTACAAGTAAGAACCAGCAATTATGTGAATAAATTTGCATATCAAATTTTTGAGCAGCCATTTAAAAAGTATTTTGCCTGCAATTAATATTAGTTAGAAAGTTACCATGTAGGCATAATTTTTAATTATTGGTTAAGTACTGAATTATAAGTGAACCACTTGTCATTAAATATGATTTAAGTTTTATTACCAGGGAAATTCAATTATCTACAAACTTTTTCACAGTCATTTAAGTCAATGTTTAGTTATTTTCCCAAGGCCCATACTTTGGTAAAAATGGCCCATCATTTTCAGACCAAGTGGGCCCAGGGCCCAGTACTTTCAAATTCTTGGCAGATCTCTGCCCAAATATTGCCCATATATACCCAAATATAGCAATATTCATTTTTATTAGTATAAGATACAGATTATAATGAGAAAATGAATTAATATTTACAACATAGTCTATGACTTAGGCGGCTGTAACTTTCATTCATTCCATTGAAATGGGCAGTTCAGATGTTGTAAGAAAATAAACTTGTGACATAAATTTGCTTATCTTAACAGTAGGTTCATTAATGAATATACTTGCAATTGAAGATATAAAGATATGATATTTGTTGTCTACATTTATTTATTTTTTATTTTTTGGTATAACTTTGATCAAATTTCATACAAGTGTCCATCGTATTTTTTAAAAATTTTATATAGCTTTAATGGATCGAGTAGGCCCTAATTGCTGAATTTGGGTATATTTTGGTTCTAGTCCATCTAATTTTACTACACAACAAGATATTGTGCTTTTTTCGTTTCTGGGCAATATCTCGCCCAGAATGAAATAATTCTCAGAATATAGCTTTGGCACTTCAATATATTTGGACTAATTTTGGTTCAAAACACAATGATAGGAAAATGTATATTTGGGTATGTTTGATTTAATCTTAGTGAATGTGTATATTGTAATTCATACGGGGAAGCCAAAGACCGGGGCCGCGAAGCGGGTCCGGGCTTTGGCTTGCCCGGCTATAGACTACACGTGTATATTTAAAAGAAACAATTAAAAAATATATAGAATTCTATACCTATCAATGAAATTTTCAGTGTCAGTTCTAGTCGGGCGCCCCCATTTACAATGTAACTTAATGATAAAAGGCGGGTTATTCCGATAACGGAACAAATCTCAACTTTTCGGATAAATAATAAACTCGGCCCTTTCTGTCAGTCTTCGGATAAGATTAATATTATAGATAATAGCCGAGGCAGTTCCGAATGATAATAAACGTCGAGTGTTCCGAGTGAAAACGGAAGCGGTGCATGTAATACCGAATGACAATTTTAAAACGGAAAGAATGAAAGGAATTTTTTAACGACTTCCCCGTTCATAGGCTTTGCCTAATTTCATACGGGGAAGTCAAAGCCCGGGGCCGCGAAGCGGCTCCGGGCTTTGGCTTGGCCGGCTATAGACTACACGTGTATATTTATAAGAAAATCAAATAAAAAAACAATTAAAAAATATATAGAATTCTATACCTATCAATAAAATTTTCAGTGTCAGTTCTAGTTAGGCGCCGCCATTTACAATGTAACTCAATGATAAAAGACGATGTATTCCGATAACGGTACAATCTCAACTTTTCGGATAAATAATAAACGTCGAGTGTTCCGAGTGAAAACGGAAGTGGTGTATAAAATACCGAATGACAATTTTAAAACGGAAAAAGAATGAAAGGAATTTTTTAACGACTTCCCCGTTCATAGGCTTTGCCTAATTTCATATTATTAATATAAACTGCATTTTTTTGTATAAAACATTTACTTTTAGTATTTTTGGACAATATTTGTGTATATTTGTACAATAATTGGGTATATTTGGGTGTATTTGGGTATTTCCATTTTCGTGCTGCCCTTCCCCAGAGCTATGTACAGAAAGTACCGGAAAACGGCGTTTACCTAGGTTTTCGAATTCGTGAATAATTTGACCATTATTGGCAAGACAAAATATGCCTGTGGGCTATAGCAGAAAAAAAAACTACAGAACACGTTTTGTAAATCCAATTCAACTAGAAATAAAATAATTCATGATTCAATCTTATCTATTTACCCTATCTTACACTCTTCATCCAAAACTATTGACACTTGCACATCTCCATGAAAACTTGTAAACATCCGCCGGTGCTATTTATTTATATATCTATAACAATTACCATTGAATTACGGACATTTCGGACCACGGACGTTTCGGACCAGATTTTTTGGTAATTTCGGACCAGATTTTGGGATATATCGGACCATGAGTTGATCATTTCGGACCATGATGGGGACACTTCGGACCAGAACTTTTTTTCAACAGACCATTTATTTCTTTTTTTTATATATGATTATTTGTTATTTCAGGGTGCTTTGAAATTGATTTACGTACATTTAGAGTAAATTTTTACCAAGTTAAATTGTGTTCTGGCAGGTAATAAAGAACTCATGGTCCGAAATATCCAACACATGGTCCGAAATGTCCAAAAATCTGCTCCGAAATGTCCCGAAATATGGTCCGAAGTGTCCAAAAATCTGGTCCGAAGTGTCTGGTCCGAAATGTCCTATTACCTTACTATTAACCTACTGAAAGTTTTGCCGCCAATTTCAAACAATTGTGCAAACTGGAAAAGTCTCAATTTTTCTTAAAAAATGTTCAGTACAAATCTAGAATTAAATCTACACACCTGGTAAATGATAGAGTTACTTCCGAGCATGTCGCTATTAAAATCAAGTGTCAAGTGACTGTGTTTTCATTTTTATATTCCCGAAAGAATTTCGGACATATTATGTTATACCACCTGGCGTCCGTCTGTCCGTCCATTAGCAATTTGGTTTCCGGAACATAACTTAAGACTTAAAGTTCCATTTGGCCCACAGTATTCAAACTTCATAGGATGATTGTCCATATTGGGTAGAAGACCCCTATTGATTTTGGGGTCAAAGGTCAATATTACCTTAAAACTATATACAGTTTCCGGAGCATAACTTTCGCCCATTTGGCCCTCAATATTCAAACTCCATAGGAGTATTGTCCATATTGGGTAGAAGACCCCTATTGATTTTGGGGTCACAAGGTCAAGGCCACTTTTACCTTAAAACTGAAAACAGTTTCCAGAACATAACTCAAGTTCCATGTGACTCACAGTGTTCAAACTTCATAGGATGATTGTTCATATTGGGTTGAACACCCCTATTGATTTTGGGGTCACAAGGTCAAAGTTCAAGGTCACTATTACTTTAAAAATGGAAACAGTTTCCGGAGCATAACTTAAGTTCCATTTGGCCCACAATATTCAAACTTCATAGGAGTATTGCTATTTGAAGGAGGTAATACTTTATTTAATTCCCATGCCTTACAAATGCTTCATCCTTACTAAAAAAACACTTTCGGGCATATAATGCTCCGCCTAGCGGTGCTCTTGTTTATATATTTTATACACCAAATATCAAAATTCGGAGAATACTATGCGATGTAAATTTGATTGAAGTTTCCAGAAAACGTAAAGTTGTTATACTTGTGTTTGAAATGTAGTTGTGGCGGCGTTTCCAAGTTAACGAATTGAGTGTTAAAATGGACCGTTTCATCATGAAACAGATTATTTTCCCTCCTATTTTCATCTAAACAGTGATTCGGATTAAAAACAAATTATATTTCAAGTAGATATATACGGTGTTCCGTTTGGACAGTCCTGATTTTTCATTTAGTTTGTTACCGCGATGCATGATGGTACGATGGTGAAAACGCGATGGTACGATGGTAAAAACACAATGGTACGATGATGAAAATGCGATAGTAGATGGTGAAATCGCGTTGGTGCGATAGTACTATGGTGATAACATGATGTAACATCGCGTTTTCACCATCGTACCATCGTGATTTCACCATCGTAACATCACGTTTGAAATCGCCATCATATTTTCACCATCATACCATCGCGTTTTCACCAACGTACCATCCCGTTTTCACCATCGTACCATCGCGCTTTCACCATCGTGTCATCGTGTTTTCACCATCGTACCATCGCGCTTTCACCATCGTGTCATCGCACTTTCACCATTGTACCATCGCGCTTTCCCCATCATACTATTGCGTTTTCATCATCGTGACATCTAAAGGCACGATTGCAAAATGGTGAAAACGTGATGACACGATGGTGAAAACGCGCTAGTACGATGGTGAAAGCACGATGGTAAAAAAACGCGATAATACGATGGTGAAAGCCCGATGGTACCATGGTGAAACCGCGATGGCACGATGGTGAAAACATGATGGCGCGATGGTGAAAGCGCGATGGTACAATGGTGAAAACACGAAGTCACGATGATGAAAACGTGAAAGTAAGAGGGTGAAAGCGCGGTGGTACGATGGTGGAAACGCGATGGCACAATGGTGAAAATGCGATGGCACGGTGATGAAAACACGATGGCACGATAATGAAAACACGATGGTGTGATGGTACGATGGTGAAAACGCGATGGCACAATGGTGGAAACGCGATGGCACGATGATGAAAACACGATGGCACGATAATGAAAACACGATGGTGTGATGGTAGGATGGTGAAAATGCGATGGCACGATGGTGAAAACACAATGGCACGATGATGAAAACATGATGGCCAATTATGAAAACATGATGGTGTGATGGATGGCACGATGATGAAAACACGATGGCCAATGATGAAAACACAATGGTGTGATGGTGAAAAACGCATCGCGTTTTCAATATTGGACAATCATGCCATTGCATTTTCACCATTGTACCATCATGTTTTCACCATCGTACCATCGCCTTTTCATAATTGTACCATCATGTTTTCACAATCGTGCCATCGCGTTTTTACCATCCTACCATCGTGCCATCGCGGGTACAGACTAAACAAAAAGTCACGATTGTCCAAACAGAACACCGTAGATATAAGGTCCAGAAATGAAATAAGATTGAAATCAGATCAAAACTTTAGTTAATAAAGAAATTATAGGATATTTGTTCTTGGAGACAGCTCTGTCGTGAAGGAGGTACATTGAAGTTATATATGTCCCTAAATATGCCCCAATCTTAAGTTAAATTGCAAGAACAATTCCTCTTTTTAGCTTCCAGCATAGTGATTTCATTTGTCCCGATTAAAGTGGCATGCCTCCAGATTTATGCTTATTTTCATGAAAATTTTGAAAATGTATTTTAAAGTAAAATACTGTGAAGTGAACAAAGAAAATAATTTACAAATTGCAAGCGGCAATTACAATCCACGTAAATTACCCCAAAAAAAGGTCAAAATATACATAAATACCTCTTACTTAAAATTAAAAATGTTTCTGGTCAGCTCTTAAAAAGCTATATGTATGTTGTGTAAAAGTTTGTTCTGGGTATGAAATGTAAAAAAAAAAAATTTTAAACTTTAATTTCAATCAATGTGACAGTAATAAAAAATGGTATAAATTGTCATGTTGTTGTGTTCATGAAAAAAAGAGTAGATGTTATATGTAATAAAAGAAACAATAAAAAGAAAACATATCAAAAACATAAAAGCTATATTATTATAAAAATAATAATTACCTAAAAGTTATAATAATTATAATAATAAACAAATTATTATATTAATAATAATAATAACATAATAATAATAATAAGTAATAATACTTTTTTTATAAAAGTAATAATAATAAAAATAATAAAACTAATGATAATAATAAATCACATACCAACAACGTCACAAGATTCGTTAACTGAATGGCGGAAGAAGTGTAGCGCGTTAAAAAAATAATAATACAAAAATAATAATAAAACGTCCATTCAGTCGCGCGTTTATAACGGTTGGACGTATACTATGACTACACTTCTTCCAATGCTGCCTCAAGTTTTAATAACTAGCATGTCCCAAGCCATGATAAAAGCAGAGGGGAAGAAATGAAGTTAATAGATTTTATAGTGATATCAACAAAAATTGGCTTATCACTGTTCACAATTCAGACAGTATAATTATTTTGAAATTTTCCCTAAAATTATAAGATTGAAAGATAGGGAAGTCCATTTAATATACAGCTTGATTTCATTAGTTCTTTCATTAACCTGTTTTTCATTTTTTGCTCAGTTATGCCCCTTTTTTCCACAGAAGCTATTACTGTATATATATTCACTTTAACCTTACAACATACTAGTTCAGTATCCAATTGGCATGCATTTCTAATGGGCAAATAACCTTGACAGAATTGTTTTCTTAATTATCTCCCTTTTAGTTTAAGACATTTTCCTTATTTTCATAAAAAGGCATCATACATATTCACTACAAACTTGAAGAACTTGTTTACTATCAAGGGCATGTAGGTGTGTCTCTGGCTGAGTGGTTAAGGTTGTTGACTTTAAACCTCTTGTCTCTCAATACTGTAGGTTCGATTCCTGGCAGGAAATCTGAATCTTTTCATGTCAGGTATCCACCAGTAAAGCTGGAAAGTCGCCATATGACCTAAACTGTGTCCATGTGATGTAAGACCCATAACAAACAAACAAGCACAATCAAGGGCATGTAATTCTGCCAAGCACTTGCAGAATTATGCCCCCTTTTTACTTTGCATTTATCATACTACTCAGCACTGAGTAAAATAAAAGTGTGCTGTTCATTGACAGGTCTTGTAATTTTCATAATTTGTCTAATTTATGCCATTTGTACTCTTTTTATTCTCCAATTTGTGAATTTACATTTTTATGTATCGAACATATGTTAACCAATTCTTCTGTATATACTTGTAGGAGATGGGATGGTTCAATGGAAAATGTTGCAGTGTGTGTTGATGTCACGGCATAAACAAGGGAGAAAATTTCAATAATTTACATAATTATATTTATAAGTAACAGGTCAAATAACTTGAAAAAGTGGACATATAGGGGTTACTTTTGTCGGCGGAATCCCGTTAGGCATATCTTACTCATTACAGGTTGGATTGACTCCAAACTTGGCATGCATGCTTTTTTCAATACTCAAAGTGCAGGCACAGAATCGTTCCCCTGTTTCTATTTTTAGAGTTTTTGCCCTTTTCCAGGCCATTTCCCCTAAAATAAAACTATGGACTTGGAATTTTTGGGCAAAAAATAGATCTCTTTAGGAAAAAGGGTGCAGCACCCAAAAACGGGGTACTCTGTTATTT